GACTCGCTGGTTCCGCGTGAAACAGTCTTTCAGCTCGTCCCGACAGACAGAGCCGGCTGAACGGTGGACGGGATGGATGGGATGGATGGGTCTGATGGGGCCCTGCACGTAAGAACCTCGTTTTTCCTTCTCTCTGCTTTCCTTTTCTTCCTTGGCTTCTTCGATGTGGGCTTCTCCTGGTGCCCATCCCACGCCCTCCCTCCCGGGTGCCAGCCTCTCCGTGGCCTAGCGCCACATGCACAACCCACCCCTGGATGGCCTCCACAGCAACGACGAGGGACCATGTTGACCTCTGGTTGGATGGTCCTGCTTCTTCTGCTGCAGCAAATGATCTCAGGCTACTGCACGGAAGCATAACAAGCGAAGGACGAAAGCGAGCCGAAAGTACAAAGTAGAGTTGCTTTTTCTGAGTTGGCTTCTTCTTTTTTTATCGTTTTATTTTATTTTACTTTTTTTTTGTTGGACCTACAACATACAGCATGGCTAGTTCTTGGTCCAACGAGCCGCTTGGCAGCAGTGAGCGATGATTTTTATGGATGGAGAGGACCACGGCGGGAGGTGATGCGACCGGAGAAGGGGCTCGACATGCATACAACCTTAAACGAGCAAATGCCAGGATAATGCCACATAAAAGACTAGTCAACTACAAAAGGATGGATGCAGGATCGGATCCAGGCCCTTTCGACGATCGCGGCATGTCCGATGGAATGGTTGGCCGGGATGAAGCCGACCAATCATTTATATTTTCGGAATCGAACCTTCATTTTCGTTTGCCGTTCCTGTCCTGCCAAGCTTTGCCAAATGTCGAGTCGTTTGTGAAAGGCAGGATGCGGGCATTGGCCGACTTGTTCGTGCCGAGCGGTTTTGCTGGTCGCTTAGAAATCTGTGTTGTACATTTGCGATGCTAATGGTTTTGTTATTTGCGCATTTCCATGCCTTCATGTCGGATCGCCGGTCCCACACACGGACGCACACACCATACACTCTGGCGTGCGCACGCCAACCGACGTCGACTCGCTCGTCTTTATTGCCGCCGCTGCCGCCACACACTTCGGAAACAAGGCGCTCGCGCTTAGTCCTTCTCTGCAATCGCCTGTAACCGCTCGTCAATCTCCTCCTCCGTCAGCGTCCGGAAGCCCGGGTACGTGCCCTCGGCGCCGTTGGCATGCGGGCCGCCCACGATGCCAATCTCAATCTCCGTCTTCTTAAAGTCCATGCTCAGGACCGTGCTCAGCGTCGTGATGGCCAGCTCCACGACGTCCTCCCATGTGCCCTCGGCGTGGTCCTTGTTCTTGAGCTTCTTCTCCAGGTGGTTCAGCGCCTCCTGCTGCTTGGGCCCTGCCGCCGTGCCCTTGTAGCCCGTGTAGTAGCCTGCCGGGTCGCACTTGAACAGCTGCGGCCCCACCTCCGCGTCGAGCGAGATCAGCGTCGCCGCCACCCCGTACGGCCGCATGTACGCACGCTGCGTGTACACCTGGCTGATGTTGGCCAGGCGCTTGGCTAGCACGTCGCAGGGCATCTCGTAGCCATACTTGTACCGGTACTCGGCCGCCTCGCCCTGCGCACGCTGCGCAAACGCGCGGGCGTCGGCTATGGAGCCCGTCATGACGCAGCCGACGGACGGCGAGATCTGGAAGATGTGGGACACGGACGCCGGGTCGATGAGCTTGTCCGGGACCTTCTTCTGCGACAGAATTACTGCGCAGTCCTTGCCGCGCACGCCCACCGCCATGATGTTGGCGGCCGTGATGGCCTTGAATGCATATTCTAGAGACACAGACGGGTCAGTATGGTGGGTGGCTCGCCATCGACGGCAGGACGGAATGAGATCGCTGTCGTACCGACTTGGTAGAGTCGCCCCTGCTCGGAGAAGATGGTAATGTGCCGATCGAAGCCCGCGCTGCCTGTGGTCCGGTTAGCTAGCTGCACCTGCGTTCGTGTGCCCTCCAATGAAGCACGTCACGGGACAAGCGCAATGCGAGATCGAGACTGAGGGTCCAGCCATACCAGACATGGTGACACGCGGATTGAGGCGACCTCAAGAGCTTCTTCTCTTTTTCGTACGGGGATTTCGTGGAGACGAGGACGGTGGCCGCACAGAAACGGCAAAGCGAATTCGAATGGGAGGTGCTCGTCAGATAGATAGATTGATGGACAAAAACAGGAAAGGTGCAAAGAAAAATCGTGTGCTTGCTGCTCTGGCGATGCAATGGTGGCGGCGGATGTGTAGATGACGATGGAGGTGGCTAGGCTGCTGAGATGCTGAGCTGGATAGGGAGAGCTTCGTTTTCCCGCTTGCTCCTGCCGCCAGACGACACTCAGTGCTGCGACGCGTTGGCAAGGAGCTTGCCTAGAGGCAGGTGTTGCTAGAACGGCAAGCTTGGCCCGTGCGTGTCCGGTTCCAGAGGGGGAACTGGCAGGGAACCGGAGGATTGAATATCCGGATCACGTGAAAGGTCACGGCGGTGGACTGATCTGCAAAGGTCTCGCCCATCGTCTTATCGATAAGGGACCCGCTAAAAAGATCCTAGTTTTTCTCCTTCCTGCCTCTGTACTATTTACATTGATGCCAGACGCAACGACGAGAGCGGCGAACAAGCAGACGGGCGGTGGAACCCAAGACGACAACACTTTGGGATTGCATATGCATTGTATATCTGTCTTTCATTGTTTATGAGCCAATTGCTTTCTTGTGGAACGCACAACGCCGCACACTGCCGACCGACTGCCGTCGAGAAACGACGTCTGTTGACGATTATCTCATTTTCTCATTTCTTGGGTTCTGTCTACACTTTTTGCATTTTCCTTCTCCAGACCATCTCCCCTGCTCTACTTTGTGATTTATAAAAAAGGGCACTGCCTTCGCATACTTCCAACGTTGCATACAACCCCCACCTCTGCCATGCCGTACCCAACGACTGCGCCAGCCCAGCGCGTGCCGGCCTGGAAACGGTTGGGCCTCAAGCTCAAAGGGTCGGACGGCAATCCTGCCTCGCCCGCTGCCACGACTGCCGTACCACCACCAGCGCCTCCTCCTTCGTCCTTCTCTGCCTCCACACGCCAGCCATACCAATCATCGCCCTCCTCTTACTCCCAGACCAACACACCCAGCAAGCGGAAAGAGCCGCCTGCGTCGGCCCTCGCGTCGTCCGCCGCCAAACGCCAAAAGTCCGTCTCATTCGCCGAGGGCGGCACCGCCAACAAGACGAACGGCGAGGCTGCACTCAAGAAAGCCAAGAAGGCCAAGAAGGCCAAAAAGAAGAAGGCCGCGCCCAATCCAGCCAACAAGGAGCCGTCCAACCTCGACCGCGAACTCGAGTACCTGCAGCAGTGGAAGACGGCACGGGACGTGTGGAAGTTCAACAAGAACCACCAGACGCTGCTGATCAAGTACGTCTTTGCGGGCGGCAGCAACAACGCGGGCATCCCGACATCGCACATTGACATCTTTTACGACTACATCCGCTCGCTGCAAGGCGCCGTGCGGACACGGCTTCGCGACGAGGCGATCAACATTTGCAAGATGGACGACGTGGCAGACATCACAATAGATGCGCCACGCACCAGCACTAGCACGTCAACAACAGCGACAACGACAGCGGCGACAGGAGAGGCGACGCCGAAAAAGGCAAAGACGGAGGCCGAGGCGGCGGCCGAAGCCGAGTATGCCAAGATTGTGGCCGGCTTCCGGGACCAGGCCGCCAGTGGCGCCGTCAATGGCAACGGCAAGCGGCTCCGGCGTCTCAGCGAGGTGGACTATGTCCTTCGGTTTGCCGACCCGGTGCTGCAGAAGCGGCTGGTGCGGCGTATTAGGGCTGAGAACGTTGCGAATGAGCTGAGCAGTGAGGAGGACGGCGAGGTGGTGACCGCAGCAGCAGCAGCAGCAGCGTCAATACCCAAGGCGGCGCAGTCTGGCTCTACCTCGGATGTCCCGAGCACCTCGTACCTGTCGTCGTCTTCAGCAACGACATCCGGCGGCGACGACAAGCGTGTGAAGCTCAACGATGGCTCGGCGCAGAAGCCGAAACGGAGCCGAAAGCAGCGGACGGCTGTTGACTCCAGCTCGGACGACTCGGACTCGGACTCAGACACGGACTCGGATTCCGATTCGGGCGAAGATGGCGACGGTGCAAAGGTTGAAGGCGGCGCCGATTCGTCGAGTGACAGCTCCGACTCGTCCGACGACTCGGACGACGAGATGGTGCCTTTACCCACGGCGAATGGTGCACAAACATCGTCGTCTTCGTCAAGCAGCAGCTCACCGGCGTCTGCGTCCGATTCCGACTCGGATTCCGACTAGAAGTTGGATGGAGGCAAGGTAACCCGGCGTACAGACATTGTGAACAGAACGTGTGATGGATTTTGAGTACATCATCTCTAGCGGGAATTCATAGCGTTACTATTGTAAACGATGCTGTTTTATTTTATTTTATGCCAGCCATTTGGTTCGGCTCATGCTGTCCTTCACCATGGGAGTAAATGGAGCAATGGGAATTGACTTATTTCAATTATGAGGCGATCACATTGAAATAATGATAGATAACTGTAAAACGCTCCGTATGACGGACCGGAAAATGACTATGAGATGCCATTGGATGTTGGATGTACGTCTATGTTCCCGTGACATATAAACATAAATAAAAACCAAAGAGTAAGTCCTGTAAACGCCCAAATAAAGGTCTACGAGAGACTGTAAATGCGGTGATGAGATGTGTATAAAAGCAAAAAGCCACCCGTTCCCGGGACTTATCTCCGGGATATTCGCTTGTCGTAGGCAAGGCGAAAGTATGATTCCAAATCCAAATACGCACATGACCAGTAAATCGTAACGGGAAGAAAAAAGCGTTGCCTCCCATGAACCAACAAGATGCAACATCATTAACAAAAGAACAAGTCAATCAACAACAAAAAGAAAGGAACAAGAAAACACAGAAAAGAAATAAAAGAAAAGGCTCGTCAGTGCCGTTGACCTGGCGCAATCTCTTGCCCAGCACAAACAATCATGCACGCACATCGTCGTACGCTTTGAGCAGGTCCTGGAGCTCCAGAACGCCAGCGACTTCACCATTGTCAATGACGGCGACGACAGCATCGGCGGCTGCCACGCCTTCCTCGCTGGCACTCGCATCGGCAACGGCCCGCAGCCACTCCGCGGCCTTGCGCACCTTTGTGTCAGCGGCCACAGCAACAAAATCAGGCCGGCCAATGACAAGGCCGGGCACCTCGTGCACAGGGCGGGCCAGGTCGGCGGACCGCAGGGCCCGGATGCGGCTCGGCGGGGCAATGCTCTCGAGGTTGCTGTCGTCGCTGTTCGTGCCGGCCGTCGTCACCACACGCACCCAGCCATTGGCCGAGCTGTAGCCGGCGCGCAGCACGTCGGCGCAGTCGGGCTGGGAGTGCACAATGGGAATGTCCCGCCACGGTACGGCCAGGTTGCGGATGGTGTCGTTTTGTTGTTGTTTTTGCTGCTGTTGTTGTAGGTGAGAATTGGCGGCGGCATCCGGATGCTGAAAGGCGGCACCTATGGCACCGCCCGGGTGGTTGCGGCGAAACACAGACTCTGTCGACGGGTGCAATTCCGTGCTCGTGACAATCGCCAACGCATCGCCGACAGCCAATGCCGTGGTCGTGCTGGCGGTGGGCGCGGCCACGCCAAAGGACACCTTCTCCTCGACAGGAATGGGCGCCGGCAGCAGGATGGCGGCCGCAGCAGGAGAGCCACTGCCGGGGAAGTTGCCGCTGGCTCTGGCACCGGACTGCAGGGTGTTGCGGTGGCGGACTAGCTCGCAGGTCTCGGCGGTGACGTGGGATGTCAAGATGATCAGCGGCAGGGCGGGATCGATGTGCGGAAGGAGGGTGACGAGCTCCTGTGTCTTACCCGAGTAGGTGATGAACAGAAGGGCGTCGTGTGGCCGGATGTGTCCGAGGTCGCCATGCAACGCCTCGGTCGGATGCAAGAAGGAGGCCGGCACAGCGAGACTGTTGAACGTGGCCACCAGCTTCTTGCCAATGTGGCCCGACTTGCCGACGCCGACGACCACCAGCTTCCCTGGTGGCTGCGAGGTCTGTGTGCGCACAATGGCCTCAACAGCCTGGTGGAAGCCGTCCTGTGCCGCCGGCGATGTGGCGTACAGCTGGGCAACAGACTGCAGGGCGGTTGCCTCTGTGGAAAGGACGTGCACGGCGCCGGCCAGGCGTGCAGTGGCCGACGATGCTGGTGCCTTGCCGGACACAGAAGCAGATGCGGACGACGGGGCTACCGGCGAGGTCGCAGCCGTAGTGACGCTCAGGCAGGTGGAGGAGACACTTGGCGACAGGACACAAGGAGACAACTTGGGCGAGTCTGTTGCCGAGGCTGGCGCTGTGGCCGGCGGTGATGAGAGAGCGGTGTCGTCGTGCACGCCCGCGGCCGTCGTATTGTTGGGGGACGAAGGGGCAGCAGATGCTGAGGCCGCAACCGCGACAGGGGATGTGATGGTAACGCTGTCGACGGTATCGAGCGATAGGTCCTCAATCGGGCTGCAAAGGTCTTCCTCGTTCCCCGGCGTCACAGGGGAAGGCGGCGAGGGCGGTGGAACTGCCGGGAAGACAGAGGTCCCGAGCAAGTAGACGGCGCTCGTCTGGACCGGCCCGCTGCAACGCTCGACTCGTTCGCCCATTGCGACAGCACGGCTGGGTTATGTGTGGAAGGGGGGGAGGGTTGTCTGGTGAAAGATAAGGAAACCCGGAACAGCACAGCAGACACAGCCGAAGGAAACCGAGAATGGAGGCCGAAAGAGGTCGCACGGCGCAGCCGGCGGCAAGCAATGGAAGGAAAAGGGGATAGCAGGAAAGAAGGAAAGGAAAGAAGGTTATGGGACGCAGCGGATTAGATCGAAAAAGCGCCCATCTTGTGTGAATAAGGTCTGGCAAAGTATACCGTTTCCCGGAGATGTCGTTTTCTTGATATGAATTTGCGGGACGAACGGCCGTCTCCAAAGGTGGCGCCGGTATTTTGCGCTATATTATGGGACAAGCGACAATGCACACTGGAGCATGAGGCCCGAGAAGGGAATGAAGCAAAATGAAGAAGAAGAGGAGGTAGGAGAGGACGAGAGAGAGCTGTGGAAGAACAGAACGAAGAGATAAAGGAAGCCGGTGAAGAAAGCTGGATGGCGCAAGGAACGTAACGGAACGTTAGCTCGAGGCCGTTTGTCGCTAAGGGCGGAGCAGAAACAAAGACGGAAGCAGAAGTCCCAAATGGGGCCACCGTTTTCTCGTTTAGCTGACAGTGGCCGCACGGGCGGTCGAACACTGGAGCCGCCGGGGAGAAGCGAGGAAAAGGATGAAAAGGAAGCTCAAGTGGGAGAGCTCGGAATGCACCGAAGCTGTTTATCCCGCAGGTCTGACCTAAGGAAGTTCACTCGCATAGTTGCCAAGTAAGGGAGGTACGGAGGAGGCAGAAAGGAGGAAGATGAAGAGGAAGGCGCATTGGCAGAACCGTAGAGAGTAAGCAAGAGGCGAGGGCAGGATGGAGCAAAAATCGAACGAAAAGGAAGGAGCGTTGCTATCTTGAGGCAGGGACGACGGGTGTTGAGCTGCGCCAGGGTCGATTACCTTCCTGTATGGCATTGCGCGCGGGCACATGCAAATGTGGAAGGGGCGTTTCAAGAACGGCTACAAGAAAAGGGAAGGAACGACATACTGCCGGGACGACTGGCAGCAATGGAAGGGTCTGGCCCAGAAGTCACTGGGAATCTGCACTTTGCAGGGCCCTTCCCTGATATTTGGTTCACTATGATTTTTTTTTTCGGTTTTAATCTAAAGCTATTTTTCGACTTTGTTTGCCGTGCAAGCGACCTTTCAAACAGCGCAAAAGAGCGCTGAAGCTCGGCTCGGATGGGAGAAAGATTCTACCCGCGGCAGGTACTTGGCGACAGCATGAACAAGGATGCACACCCGCGGAGCAAATACTACGACGCGAGGGCAGGAGCTACCCACGCTGTTAACTCCGTTGGCAAGCGCACGTTTTCCGAGGACGAAGTTCTTCGCCGTTGGATGTGTTGTCCATTCTTTCCAATTTTAGCGTGATGCGCCTTCCTTTGCCACGATTGGAAAAGGAGCGGCGGGACGGAGAAATCGCTATCGCAACGATCGCAGCGATTAATAAGAAGGAACGGGTGGGCGCGGAAGGGCAAAACGGTGGGACAAAACGGCAGGAAGTACGTGAGATGTCTCCGTGCGGAAGGACCAGCCAGCCATAACGAATGACAAGATCAAAGACCAAACGGAAGGAGTCAGTAATCGGTAAAAAAAAATGGCAGCTGCCATTGTCCCGACTCTTCTTCCTCCCCGTGCAGAAATCCCTAATCTGCTCACCAAAATACGCACCGATCTTATATCGTCTTCTGCAGGGCGTCTAGCACCATCGCCACCAATGCCAGGAACGGCGGCTTGCGTGATCCAGGCTAAGGAGACGCACCAAGCCTATTTGTCGATCAGATTGGCCGTGCAGCCCACCACGCCGCCTCGCGGCGCTCGCGACCGCCATCGTTTCTCCCCTTCTTGGCCTCGTCTGGGTCTCATTGGCGTCCTTGTGGGGTCCTTTTGAGCTGTTTCCTTGGGACATGACATGTGCAGCATAGTGGAAAAGCACAACAATACGATGTACGGCGAAAGAACGGTGACTCTCCGGCGACTGGCCTGTGAGGTTTGTCAGTTGTATCTGTGTTGGCGGAAGCGAATCGGCTTCGCGCGCAGCGTTCTTGACAACGCTCACGGTCTTCGGGGACTTTGGCACCCGTCGACATGGCACAGCTCTGTCTGGGCTGCAAGTTTGATGACAGAAACTCGATGAGACCATGCAATGGCATCTCTGTGCTTATCACACCCTGCACGTATTACGTGCGTCATGCAGATGGCCCGCTGCATTTGACTCTGCAGATTCTGATAACACCTGCGTCCGCGTCCTCTGAAGCAGCCTGCAAGCCTCTTCGACTTGCATACACGTGGGGCCGTCCCAGTCGTGTGAGAGGAAGAGTCATTGAGGCAGCCATTTCGTCAAAGCGAGGCTCCATCGGGATCCCATTTAAACCGTCTGGGGCAAGTGTTGTAGCTGTGCACGACAAAGTGGTATTTACCATGCCCGCGTTCACGCCGTCACGAAACTGCACTCATGAATGAGATTGTATTGGTACATGTTTGAACCTCGACACCTTTTATTTGCAAAGATAATGCATCATTAAACGACAGGAAAAAGCAAAACCCCAAACGCCCATGCCATGCTCAAGGCAAATGCCCTATCCAGTAAAAGCCGTTTTGTGGAAATCGTAGTACAGTAAAAGACGCCTTGTGCCAATGCGTACGTATTGAGACATGATTCACATTCACGCCGCTATGCCATGGCGCTCATCATGAGGCTCTCCACCATGCCGCTCGTCTGGCACGCCAGCTGCGCCTGCTCGACCTCGCGACGCACGCGCTTCCACAGCAGCTGGAAGCCGGCGTCCAGCTCGGCCGACGCAGCCACGTACTCGGCATAGAGGTCCAAGAGGTGCATGCCAACGTCCGTACACATGGGCGTAAACCGCGGGTCCACAATGTGCCGGCAGACCCACTGCAGAATCGGCTGCACCGTCACCTCGTCGCGGTTCTCCAGCGCATCGCGCAGGGCACTCCGGTGCCGCAGGGCGGTCAGCAGCGTCAGCGTGTTGAGCGGGCCATAGTTGGGTGAGTTGGGGTCCAGTACGGCGTCGAGGGCGGCGCCAAACCGCTGGTGCCGCAGGTCACGCTGCCATGGCGGCTCGCGGCGCCGGCGCTTGTTGTTGTTGCCGTTGCCGCTGCCGCTGCCTATGCCGGACCCGTCAATGACAAAATCAGCCGCGTCGCCGCCCGCGGCGTCGATGCGCGCGTGCGCCTCGGCTTGCTGCTTGCGCTTGGCCTTGGCGGCATCGTACTTGTCCAGGGTGCCGGCGTCGCGCGCGGCCCGCTCCTTCTTCTTGTCCTTCTCGCGCTCGGCCGCCGGGCCCGTCAGCCGCGTGCGGATGCTCAGCACGCCCGACACCATGCCGACCGCCAGGTGCCGGTCGTCGCCGCCGGCGCCTGCAGCGATCACCGACACGCTGAGCACGGGCGACGGGTACTTGGCGCTGGCCACCACGTTCCACGAGCCCGTCTCAAACACCTTGACGTGGCCGTCTAGGCCGCCCGACACGACGCGCTCGCCGTGCGACGCCAGGCACAGCGACGTCACCGTCTTTTGGTGCGCCGTCAGCAGCGTCAGCGGCCGCGCCGCCACCACGTCGAGCACCGACACCGTATTGTCAGACGCCGCCAGGATGGCCGTACCCGAAGGCATGGGCAGGACGGCCTCGACGGGCGCCGCGTGCTTGAACGTCAGCACGGCGCCGCCCGGCGCACGCGCATCCCAGAGGCGCACCGTGGCATCGTACGAGCCCGTCACCATCATGTGGTTGTTGCTGCTGCTGCTGCCGGCGCCCGCGCTGCCGGCGCCGCCGCCGGGCATAAAGGCGCCGGCGCGCACGTAGTCCTGGTGGCCGACAAAGGTGCGCACGGGGTCTGCCAGCGGCAGGCTCCAGAGGCGCACGGTCTTGTCGTCGCTCGCGCTCATGACGGTCGTGAGGTCCGTGGGCGACCAGCGCGTGACCCACGTCGGCTGCTTGTGCGTGTGCCACGTCTTGAGAATCACAGGCCGCGAGCCGCCGGCCACGTCAAACACCTGCATCTTGCCCGAGTCGTCGCCCGCCACCAGCACACGCCCGTCGGGCCGGATCTCGCCGCTGCGCGCCACCGACTCGAACCGGCCAATCGTCTTGATCAGCTCCCGCTTGCGGATGCTGTAAATGTCGACGCGGGGACCGGCCGTGACAGCAAACAGGTCGTTTTGCTTCGTGGCTGCCGTCGTCGTCGCGCTGGCAACGGCCGTGGCCCCACCGCCGTACAAAGCCGCTGTGGCCGGAAAGCCAATGTGTGTGACGCCCCATGAGGCCGTGGACGTGTGCGACTTTTGGTTCTTGAACGACTTCCAGTAGCGCTGCTCGGCCGTCATGGCCGCTGGCCCTTGGGCCAGCTTCAGCGTCTGCAATGGGACGACCTCGGCCGCCATTTTGTGTCTGTATCCGTGTAGTCGCGTGGGATTGAACGGTACAAAATAAAAGACGAGATGGGTGTTGGCAAAGTCGTCAAAGTCGTCGTTGGTGTCGCTGCACGTTGGTTTGGTCCCTGGCACTGGTTCCTGAGAATTTGCCTACAGGTGCAAAAGGTAGCTCCAAATTTTTTTCTTTATCGATCGGCGGTTATCGATAACATTTAGTGGTTGGATGTCGCCCCACTTGACCGACTGTGGTTGGCCTTTTGGGGCTCCTCCTGAAATCCCCAATCTCCACTCTATCTGTCGCCGAATTAGGCTTAGTGCCAATATATAATATCTCCGTATTAGAGACGATGGCCCACCGCAACCGTCAACAAAACGATTCAATATTACCATCACCCCGAAGCCGTCGCACAGGTTGACTCACTGGGTTGGCGCGCTGTTCGCTGGTCTGTTTATCTCTGCAGTGACTGCATAACAACGGCTGCTCTACGACATGGCGTGCAAGCTTCATACTGTTGTCGGATCAGAGGCCTGAGGCCGTCTCAGGTGGCAAACAAGGCTCTTCGATGCAGAAAATGCCCTTCTTCCGCGGACACTGCCACTACTCCTCTTTGCTCGTGTGCCATTTTGTCAAAAGAGATCCCCGTAGCTTTTCCTGAAACGTGCAAGTCAACAGTCAAGGGTGCAAGGCCTGGAATCTTGGAATGGATCAAATCCCCGTTCGCACTGAGGAGAAAGCCAGCGCACAATGTCGCGCTATCGCTGTAAGATGCAAACAGGCGCTACAATTGGCCGTCGGATGAATTGAATCTGGGGAAAGTTAAAGTTCAGAGACAGACGTGCAGAGCCAAAAGCCAGTCTTGAAACATCTGCTCTCAGTGGCTCCGATGCTCGACGATCGTTCTTTCCTGCAATGTGTACGACGAAAGCTGTTGCACTGTTGCCTTATGTTGGGGGGCAGAGGCAAGTGCGCCTAACGCTTGCCGAAGGCTTCCCACCTGACCATCGTCGTCGTTCGCTCTTTCCCCCTCCCCTTAACGGTCGCTCTTGCCATAATCCGTACTCCTGTCACGATTTTCTGCTCACGTTTTCCTGTTTTGTGTTTCAATTTCCTGTTCTCCTGTTCTCCTGTTCATTTCTGTTTGTGTCTTCACATCCCCATCATCTCCAAGGCTGTCCCCCATCGGCGAGCCACACACAGAGTCCATTGCAATTGACTAGCCCAATGCACTCGCCTAGCTCCACAGCGGTGTGCCCCCGACGCTGTCGTTCCTTACCGCCTAACTACGCGCGCGCGACCATCGACAAAAGCGGATTTCCAACCACTTCTGCCCCCAAAACGCCTTCGGCAGCACTCTGCGCTGCCTGCGTTATGCCTCTTGCATAGTCTTCTCGCTGTCCTCTCACCCATCCCTTCCATCTCTTTGGCCGTCTTCCCGCTGCCTTCGCCTAGCGACTCATGGCACGAGCATAGAAGCCGCGAGATCGACGAAAATCGCACGTTTGGCGCAGCACTTTCTCATCGCCCTGCGCCATCCCACTCTGTGGTCGCCACCGCCGTGAATTTCCGGGTATTCACTTACGCCGTTTCGTTCGGACTTTGTCTGGATTCTTGATCCCCGGGTGCTGTCGTGTGTATGGTCTCGACAATAGCGATCGATATGAGCCGGTTTCTGCCATGGTGCGTTGCCCAACCTGTGTTCCAATGCAAGACAGAGCCTGAGACATGATCCTGAGATCTAACTGTCGACCCCCGATTCTTCTAGATCTTTCCGATTAAGCCGTTCCGCCAGTCCAGCCACATTCCGTGAGGCCATGCCGCGCACGACATCGTCTCCGGACGAGAAGCGTGCGTTGCTCGCCAGCCGGGCCGAGGCCCAGATGGCCTCGACCAACACTACGGCAAACGCCTTTCTCGGTACCCGGCAACCGTCATGGCTAACGGCGAACGCAAAGCAACGGACTGCACCCACTGCTGGTCCACCATTAACCACCGACATGGCACGAGCAGTACCAGCCGTTGCGCCCGCTCCAGGAGCGCCAGCAGCAGCGCCGGCAGCGCCACCACAAGCGCCGGCAGAGACGCGTGCGCCCCCGTTGCCGACATTAAATCCTGCCGACCCAAAACCCGTGTCTACGTCAACAAATCTGTCACAGTATGTTGACAATAGCTTGGAAAGAACGAATGGGGTTTAGACTGGAGGACGCTCACAACTGACTTATCAAAACAGATCCGACTGCAGTCTCCTCTCCCCCGCGCCGACAGACGAAGCCAGCCCAGCTGCCGCAAGTCCTGACGCAATCGTCCCACCAGCTGAGACCACGGCGGAGGAAGTCACTCATATACACGACTTCCCATCATTGCGTAGGGCCTTATCGGAAGAGCGGCAACGACGACGGGCCGAGAAGCAGATGTCTACTGCACCGGATACGAATGCAGCGGACGACACCCCGAGCGAACCAAGGCAACCACGGATATCTACAAACGGCGCAGCTCCCTGCCAGGCGCAGTCGGATGCAAATTCACAGGAGGCAGCGCAGCATTCCAGACGGCAATCGCTCGACGTGGTGGCCGGCGCACCCCCTGTGGATGACCGTCCACAGCGTGTGTTACCGCCCAACGCACCATTGGCAACAACGATGGCATCCTCCGTTTCGACAGGACAAGTAAACCTTGTGCCTGAGGAGCCGAGCAATACTGACCCACTGCCACCGACGGTACCACCGGAACCAGCAACGGCCACAGAAATTGCTGCAGCAATAGCCGCAGCAACAGCCAAGGCAGCAGGCGGGACGAACTCGGGATCAACTCAAGCTACGCTCGAGGAGCAACAAAACGTATACTTTCCGCGAACCTTGGTTCGCACAACGACAGGCAATGCCGAATTCAGCTATGTGGCTCTTGCGCAACTGGTGAGCAATCAAATTACGCAACTCAAACGCGAGGGTTCTCCCTTCACACTCTCTGAAGCACAGAGGTTGTCGAATCTGAACTGTGCTCTCCGCATTGAAGACGGTTTTTTTGTCGCAGCAAACCAGCTTCTCTGTCTGTGGTTGGTCGATACTGCCGAGTTGCATTTCCAGCTGGCCCCCCTTCCGTCGCACTTAATCGACCACAGTTTCGGTATCTTGCAGCAGATACTCGAGACCAATGGACAGATCCGACCTACTCTCCTGGCCTGGTTTTCTCAGTTTCCAGGCAACATTGACGACATGATTCGCCATACAAGTAACTACACCCAAGTCATTGTACAGGTGCGCGCCTTTTTGGAGAGGCTGGCGCTGTATTGGGGTCCTCTTTCGAACAGTGTTGCGATGCGCGGCTATCCTCTCTTGGTGGACGAGCTTCTGTCACGGCTCCTTTGTCTGTCCCCGACTCTCCAAAATCTGTTGTCTACAGCTTCCCGCAAATATCTCCAGCCGGCCAGAGATCTTGGTGACACTGCTTTTGATGAGATCTTTATGAAAGACCTGACACAGCACCAGCCGGCGCTCAGCACCTTCATCGCACTTCCGGAGCCCCGTTTTGCTGAGGACCTAGAGTGGGTCAACGCGGGTACGATTGCATGCTATCGTGAGGCTCTTCGCAGCAGCCCGGCAGAGGGGGCTAGGCGCCCGTCAGTCCCTCACTCGGCTGCACCAAATACAAAGTTAGCTCAACAACCTCCGCGACAAGTGGCTCAAATTCAGCAAATTCGTGTTCCTCAGACCCAAGAGTTTCAATCGATTCAGCAGCCCCAGTATGCACAGCAGACCTTCCAGCGGCCTCTTCAGCAAAGAGTGGTGGATCAGAATACTTCGCAGGCTGCGGCAATCTCACCAGTCCTAGCCGAATCCTGCCTTCCAGTTGGGGCTGCGTATATGGCTCATGTGCGTCGAGCAAACGCATCCGTGTCGTTGGATGGCAATGCTGCACAGCCAATGCTAGCAGATCGTGGCCGAACTGCTAGCTTACAGCATCCGCAGCAACAACTACAGCAACAGCAACAGCCCCATCTAAATATCCAGCCACAACGGTTTATCCGTCCGCATCCTCAACAGACCCCGCAGCCAATGTCTCCGGTGCAGACGCCCCAGCAGCCTATGCCATACAGGCAAGGCCAAACAATGCGCGCAACAGGCAAGACGCCAATGCTCCCTACTCTTCGACTCGCACAGCAGGGTCCGACGTCACCACAGCTCCTCCAGGGGCAGTCGCCGCAGATGGCTCAATCCCCGCACGTCTCGTCGAGGGTACAAGCGCAAGTTCGGTCGAATGTACAGGCCCAGGCACAGCAACTTCAGCATATGCAACAAATGCATGTCGCCCAACAAACTCAAGAACCACAGCAGACACAGTATACACAACAGCTACAACACGCACAACAGCGACAACAAGGACAACAAGGACAACACGCACAACACGCACAACACGCACAACACGCACAACACGCACAACACGCACAACACGCACAACACGCACAACACGCACAACACGCACAACACGCACAACACGCACAACACGCACAACACGCACAACACGCACAACACGCACAACACGCACAACACGCACAACACGCACAACACGCACAACACGCACAACACGCACAACACGCACAACACGCACAACAAGGACAACAGTTGCAGTGGCGGCAATTGCAAGCTCCACCTCGGCAAGTTCCATCCCAGCAATATGCGCTCCAACAAGGCCCAACTCAGCAGGGTCAGCCCGTGCAATCTCTTAGCACAGCGGAGAGGCGGCGCATGTTGGAACAGTTTCAATTACAGCAGAGGCTACAACTGGACGAACTTCATAGGCAGCAGCAGTTACAGCTGGAAAGGGAACAGCATGCGCAACAGGCACCGCATATGGAGACGCCAACAGATTCGCAGCAAGTACGCCAAAGGCAGCAAGTTATGCAAACACGGCAACGGACAATATTGCCAGCACAGCCAATGCAGCCAGGACAACAACAGCTGCGCCAAGTTCAGCAGACACAACAAGCACAACCAGCACAACCAGCACAACAAATTTCAACCATGCATCAAATGCAACAAATGCAGCAAATGCAACAAGTGCAACAAATGCAACCAATGCAACAGGTGCAGCAGTTGCAACGACACCAGCGGGAACAACCAGTTTCTCCGGCAGCGTTATTGTCTCCTACGCAGCCGCAGATACAACATTGGCCACAAACAACACAGGGCAGCGTAGGACTCGCAGGCCAACCTGGACAGGTGCCGCGAAACTATACCACCATGCAGCAGTCACGTCTCCCAACCACACTCCGCTCGCCCGTACCTTCGCCCGTGCAATCACCGGGCCTTGCCCAACAAGCAGCTCGCTTTCCGCCGGTACAACCTCCAGCCAACGCTATGTACTACGCCGAGAATACAGCTTCTGTTTCTAGAAACAGTCTTATCCAACCCAATATTCCACCTATCACACTGCAACCTGCTGGCGCGGTGCCGTCGGCTCCTGCACTGGGCCAACAAGTAGCTTCTGACATACCAGCGCAGGCACAGCCTCATCAACCGCAACAGCAGCAGCAGGAGGAACAACAGCAACAGACGCAGCAGCCGCAACAACAGCCTAGCTTGGTAGGCGGACGTCAGCAACATCAAGATGCGCCTACTTCTCTAGAGGGACACAGGTCCATCTTTCCGCCAGCCGGCTCAACGATTGCACGAAGCGAGTACCCTCTTGACCCGAATGATTTCCGAGCTTTTCAACAGGCTTTGACACAATTGGATCGCAGGAGCCCAACGCGAGTGATGATCAATCGGACGTCGCAAAAGTTGCTCCCACCCAAGCCTGGTAGCCCAAGATTCTACCAATACGTGCAACGCCTTGCACTTGGTCCTTGCTCGACGCCAATGCGGAAGATTATGTACACCTTCGAGTTCACGATTACGGAAGAAGACTTCGCCCAAATTTGTTTCAGGTCCACACCTCAGGGCGCCTTGCTACCGATTGAGAGCCATTTCGACGGGAGCTTGAGCTACCGTGTACGTTGCTGCACTGCCCGAGACGGTGTCCAAGCAATGACGGAAAGCGAGTGGGTGACGAGCAATACGCAATGGCCGGTGAACATCTTTATGAAGATCAACGGCACAGCCGTATTTGCTCGTCGCCAGTCACACAACGGCAAGGATCTCCCCGTTAACATCACGCAGTTGATCCTGCTTGGTGTTAACAAGGTCGAGGTGGCTATTCCTGAACAGTCGTCGAAGTCGTCAACGTCACCAAATTACTTCTTTGGCGTCGAGACCGTCGAGACGGCGCATTGCAACCGCTCGGTCGACTATATCATGAAAAATGGAGTTCAGCATGCCAGTGTTACAGTCGACAAAATCAAGTCTCGTCTTCGGTCGACGTCGGATGACGACGGGTTCACCATCCTGCAAAACAGCGTCTCCGTGGACCTAGCCGACCCTTACAGCGCCCGCCTTTTCAAGATACCTGTTCGAGGCGCCCAGTGTCAGCACATTGAGTGCTTCGACCTGCACAACTGGCTTAATACGCGGCCTGTGTGTACATCGTACCTGATGAACCCATTTTGTCAGCACGCCTATGACTGCCCATGCCCGAAGCCCCAGGAGCCGACAATGCCGGACAAATGGCGGTGCCCCATTTGTTCAAACGATGCCCGTCCTACCAGTCTGCGAATTGACCGCTTTCTCGTCGATGTCCGTGCTAAGCTCAAGGAACTCGGAACACTCGACAAAGTCAAGTCGATCCGTGTCATGGGTGATGGAACGTGGACGCCAATTGGCGGCAACGAGGAGGATGACGATGACGGGGGCGACAGCGACGACGAAAAGGTCGGCTTAGCTAGCGGCAGCAACCCCATCAGCGGAACGACTGTCACCAGCACGACGAACAACAGCACGACTACCAACAACACGGTTAACAGCAGCACGGCTACCAGTAGCACGGCTACGACCAGTGCTGCAAAGAGGAAACCGAATACGCAGCAGCAAAAAGGGCAACCGCCGCGGAAGGTTGCACGAACCGATGCAGAATCGAATGCGGCAGCACCCGCGAAACGGGCCGTGCCGACGTCGCGTCCAATTGAAATCATTGAAATCGACGATTGACCTGCACGTGGCGCATTTTCATTTACGGGTTGTATAGTTTTTGATGATTTGTTTCTATTGTTTCCATGGTATTTGGAGCATGGCGTTTTGCGACTATGATCTGTTTTGCTTCATATGGGAATTGGCGTTTTATCATGATGCTCTTTTATGTATATACCCATGTTTGCTTTGGCTTACTTGTCTGGCGTCGTCATCTATCAATAATATGTATCAGCTCATTTGTTGGGTGGACAACGAGGATGGAAGAAGGTTCCAATCAAACGACGTAGAGCTCAATTGATACTCCATGGTCATATGCTCCTAAACTCTCGTTGTTTTGCATTAGCAAGTGAATACACGATTGGCAAATGTCAATATAGGCTAATATATGTTCTATATGCGAGCCGAATATCCCCCTTCATAGCAAGCATCGTGCTAAATTCCTGGTATCGTTACATACGTGCGCGTTACTTCCACCGTGTCTCTTGTTACGCTATCCAAGACCTGTCATCATATTCCGATTATATGCCTATTCGTTCACGAGCTGGACGGCATCGTAATGGCGTTCGCCTCCCCACTAAACGCTGGCCGCATCGCGGCGCCGCCGCTGTCATTGTCGTTGAGCCCCATGGCCGCCGCCGTGTCGGCCATCGCTTCGTCGTACGACGGTGGCGGCTCTTGGTAGATGCTGGCCGTGTCCCCGTCGGTAAATGCAAACGCGTTGATGGCAGATGCTACGGACGGCGCCATGGACGAGACAACGCCATTGTACGTCACCAGCACCTCGCCGTTCTGAGCCACGATGCCGCCGCTGGCGCCGCCCGAGCTCGTGGGCGTGAGCGCCGAGCCGGTCGAAGACGAGCGTGCCGTCGGCAGCATGGCCGCAGGCTCTTCGCCGGGCCGCAACTGCGGTGGGTACAGCGGGTCGACCGACGTTTGTCGACGGTGCATGTGCAAGTGCTGGTTGGGACCATGCCAGCTGACAGAGCCGTGCATGCGTCCGATGCCGTGCGACTGCGCCGAGGCAGGGTCTTCACCCGACGGGAACTTCTCCCGGTTCTGCCGCTGCTGCTGCTCTTCCCTCTGCTGCGCGGCAAAATTCTGCGGAACAGGCCGCCGGCGGATAACGGGCAGACCTGACACTTCGACGGCGCCTGGAACGGACGGTGGTGGAACAGACGGGGTGGAGGAGGGCGATGACGATTGTGGGGCCACGTACGCCGAGCCGTTCGGTCGCGGGGCCACTGCCGGTGCCGGTACCGGATCGGAGCTCAATTCGAAAACGGGTCGTTCTACCTCCTGCGATGGATGGGGATGCTGTGGTTGTTGTAGTGGGTGTTGGAACGGTTGCTGCATATATTGCTGCTGAGGGAGTTGCTGCAGTGGCGTATGTTGCTGGCCCACGTGTGCAAGTGATGGGTACCGGCTATAGGGACTCTCCGCAGGGAATGTGGTCGCCCGGGATAGCTGTCGGACAGGCGTTGGCGGTTGGCTTGGGTCGACATTTGGGTATGGGTTTTGGTGAAGCTGGTGCTGAAACGGCTGGTGTAGCCGTGTGTCGGGCAGTGAAGGCCGGCCTTCCCGCCGCATTTGTTCTTGCCGCATACGCGCATTTTGGCGGTGCCGTTCGACGGCGTCGATGAGCATCTTGTTTGGCTTGATCCCAGAGTACACCTGTACGGAGTGGAATGTGAGAGGCAGAATGATAGTCTGAGGAAGCAAGTGCGCGGGCCGAGGCTTCATGACCTTCATGGCCTTCATGGCCGCCTTTTGCTCCTTCTTTTGCTCTTTCAACTGCTCCTTCAACTCCTTTTTCGAAAGCTGGCCGCTGCTTGGCTGATCAGTTAGTGACTCGGATGCCAACGGCGGACCTGAGTCTATGGGCAGCACGCTCCAACACAGGCCTGCGCGGATCTCGAGCTGGTAATCGCGGCTGATGTTGCATGTCACGAAGCCGGGCATCACGGTGTTTGGTAGGGCATTGTGGCGCCACATGTCGTCGGGTAGCTCCAATTCGCTGTCGACAGGGGCGTCCGGGTCGCATACGGGAATCGTAAGGCCGAGTCGTGTCATGATGATCCAGGTGGCTGTCTTGGTCTGCTCAACGTCCTGGCCCTTGACCCGCGTCCTGCCGAGGAGGCGAATGTCGAGCGAGGTGAGGTAGACCTGTTCACGGCTGGCCTCAAGCTTGCGGGCGACAATGCGCAGTGGCAGGGGTTCGTTGCAGGTCAGAATGGCGGGGAATGGAAGCAAAGCGATCAGTTGAATCGAAGGCGTAACACCGTCGCGGCATGCGACGTTCACAGGGAACTTTAGTGTGTTTGGCGACGTGGACAATGACGAAGAGGGAGATGTGGGCGACACAGACGCTCCTGCTTGGCTGTCGGGCAAAGAGAGTGTCGAGCTGCTGTTGTTGCGGAAGAAGCTCGTCTTCTTCTTGGAGTTGCGTAGGGGAGGCGCGTCAGACGGCGGAGCGCGGTCGCGGAAGGTAAAGGGCCGGCGCGCAAACATCTCGCGCGTCGACGGCGGTGGCCGAATGGGCTCAATGGGCAGAAACTTAAAGCCGACCGAGTTGCGCCAGTTGCCCCGAAACATGCCCGGCCGCTGCACAGTGGCCTTGACAAAGTACCGAATCTCGGTGGTTTCTGTGGTGCTCAAGTAGCCGGCGAAGCTCGGGGGAAGCGTCTGCTTGACGTGGGTATACATCAGCTGCTTGGTGCCGTCCATGATGCGGATGCCGTTGTTGCCGACTCCGAAGCGAAGCGGGCCGCCATTCGGGCTCTCGGCATTGCCGTCGACGTCGACCATGCCGCCCGTACGCGACAATGCCACCGGATCGGCACAGGCATTGTTAAAGGGCACCTTGAAGCGGAAGGGGAACGTGTGCTGGCCGGCCGGCAGGGTGTTGCTTGTGAGCGGCTCGTCTGTCTTGAGCGGGTGCACCTGGGCAACTTGGTAGAGAATCTTGTGGTTTTCTTGCACGACAGTGCCCGGCGCTGGCCGTGTAATCGTGCCGCCGGGGTTCCGGCTCGGGTCTAGATCGTGAAGGGACTCGTTCATATACGTCCAGCCCTCCTCGTCCTCGACGGGCGGGACGGTCAACGACGTGCTCGATTCGCCCTCGAGCTTGACGACGACGGCGCCGATGGCATCTGGCTTAGACAGAAAGAACTTGACTTCGCCGTGGATAATGTCAAGATTGGTATAGTACTCCGGCTGGTCGACGAGGTGGATGTGGACCGACATGTCTCAGACAGGCGTGGGGGGAAAGATGCCGCCAGACGGCGGAGAGGGGAGGGGCGGATGGAAAGAGGTCGGAGAGAACGGAGAATAGGCGGAATCACGGGGGTAGGAGCAGGAATCCGCACCCCATCCTCTCTTGGCGACAAAATAGCAAATGGCTGTTGATATCGACGTAGCTGGCGGTTGACCACGGGCTTTAAGGGCGGAGAGTCTGAAGCAAGCTGCGGCGTAGGGGCGACGAGCGGACGACGGGCACGAGGCAGCGGAAGCAAATTGGCGTGAGTTGACGTGGAAGATGAATGGAATCTGGGGCAGACACGAGAACGTGAGAAGCGTTGACCGTTGGCTGGAGAGGCTGGCGGCCAAAGTGGATAGGCTGGATGCAGACTAGACACCGACTGCGTGTCGAGCCAAGCAGCTGGTGCGATTTAGCTCTTTTTTTTTTTAATTGATTGATTGATTGACAGTCCCCGTCGCAGAAACGAAGCACGCGCTCTTCATGTAGCTTTGACCAGGCGCGAGGACCGCCAACGGACAGGAGAAGGCTGAGAAAGCGTCGCGTTCGACTTGTTGCAGCCTGGCGAGGCAGACCCGACCGGCGCCCGAAGAGCAGTCAATTGCGTCGTATGGTCTGGTCGTATGGCCGTGCATGAGGCGAGCGAGAGCAATGCCGCTGCAGTCTGTGCGGCGCCGTGTTTCTTTTACAAAGCTTTTTCTCCGCGGGCCTTTTGTGCCTTTTTTGTTTTTGTTTTGCTTTTCTGCAGCAGCTTGGGAATGCTCCGCCTCAATCCACAGCTCGCTGGGCTCGTGCGGTCCAGTCTTGTTGGAACCTGGCGGGGCTGGATGACAGACCTGGGTACGAAATAATACGCCGCAGATTCAGCGAAACTCCGGGCGTTGGCTGCCTCGAATTGGGCGGCAGACGTCGCGGGAAGATGAAGAGATGAAGTTGTCAAGATCCCAATCAGCCTCGCTACCCTTCGGCCAGTGCCATCCTTCCTTTACGGGATAGCCTGGGGGGAAATACAAAAAAAATGAAATGGTGGAAGGAAGGCGGAGTTGTTGGATTAGGCAAGAACGGGCGACGCTTGAAACCAGTTGCTGTACAATAGGCGCCCAGGCGCCTTCCTCCCGACATCGTATACGGGCATAAGACGGTTCGTCATTGCTCCTTCCCTCCGAAATGGCATGGGGACAAAGCTGCATATGGTTGAGAAACAGCTAGCGTTTTTTTCAGTTTAGCGGACCGTGTGCTGTGGTATTATTTTGGGTGCTCTCATCGGTTTTTTCTTCAGCACTCGACAGTCACCAGTGTTCTTGTTCGAGGATCATGTCCTGCAAGCGCGACTGGCAAATCAGGATCGGTCTTGCCAATTTTCTCACACTCTCTCAATGCTCCTTCCCTGCATCATTTCCTCGTCTTTCCCAAGCCGCCTCTGGAAATACGTCACGTAACAGGAAGGATAGGGCCGGCCGAGTTTCGCTCAAACAGGTTAAGATGCAACGAGATCCCCCTTAACTTTGTTGCCTGGTGGGGCTTAGCTATTTTTACGGACAGAGCGAACGACGTCGTAGCAGTTGCCGTTTTGGCACACTTTCCGATAAGATAAGCCTTTTTTACAATTGACAGCCCGAAGAATTATTGCCCCTCATCACCGCCAAAAAATCGTCCACCAAACCATTCGCATTTGACCGATCATCACCGTCACCATAACCGGCAACGAGCAACGACACAGCATACGGTACCGAGCATACATCCGAAGCCTCGAGCACGATACGCCATGGGAAAAGCCAAGACTCCCCGGAAGAACGGCGCCGCCTCCGCCGCGTCCCCATATTCGCGGCCAACTGGCAAGGGATCGGCACAAAAGAACAATGTCTTCAAGTTCAACACGAATGTCGGACAGGTACGACAATCACGCGGGGCGGAGGAACAGCCAGGCTAGGGCAGCTGAATCACCGGTGACTGACAATCTGGGGCAGCACATTCTCAAAAACCCCGGCGTGGCAGATGGTAAGCCCCCGAAATTTGTCTCGAGAGGACCGTGTAATTCAGGGAAATCATGTGCTAAACTGTCTGTGCAGCAATGTAGGTCGACATATGGTATCTTCTGTCCAGGAAAGCACTGGCGCTGACATAGGGCCTTGTGCTGCAGTGTCAACAAGGCCGAGGTGAGTGGCGGTCGAAACGTGACCCAACAAACCCATCGCCAGCATCCATGCTAACGAGACCAGTTGAAACCAACCGATACGGTCCTGGAAATCGGCCCCGGTACGGGCAACATCACGACGAGAATTCTCGAAAAGGCGAGAAAATGCATAGCGAGTAGGAATGCCCGATCCTGCGCAATTTTGTGCCGTTTTGTGCACGCAGTGCTGACATCTGATTCCAGTCGAGCTCGATCCTCGGATGGCGGCCGAAGTGTAAGTCACAAGAGATCGATTTAAACCGACGATTGGGAATTGTGTTTGCTGACTTTGGTTGTAGCACAAAACGTGTGCAGGGTACGCCCTTACAAAAGAAGCTGGAGGTATGTCTCTCATTGCGCCCGCAAACGGGCCCTAATCGCCCTGTATGACACGTCCATATTGACGCCCCCCCGTAGGTCCTTTTAGGCGATGCTATCAAGACCGAGTTCCCTCCGTTCGACGTACGTACGCTCACCCAATCCGGCATCTGATATCTGATTTTGGTTGGGCAGGCACACTGACCCCGGCGCTAGGTCTGCATCTCGAATACGCCGTACCAGATCAGCTCGCCCCTTGTGTACGCTGAGCGCAGTATTGTTTCCCGTCATCTCTTCTCCTCTTCTATTTCATTCCTACGGACGAAGGCATCCTGTTTCTCTCCGTTTTGCCGCCGCCTCGCGAATAATATAACAATGGCTAACCCTTTCTCAGCTTCAAGCTCCTCTCGATGCCCAACCCACCGCGGACGGCCGTTCTCATGTTCCAGAAGTAAATACCGCCCACCATACACAAAAAAAAAAAAGAAAGAAAGAAAGAAAGAAAGAAAGAGAGAAACAAAATGGCCCAAAAATCTTGTCGGCGTGTCTGTTGTCTAATGGCCTCCTCACAGGGAATTTGCTCAGCGCCTGGTTGCACGCCCGGGTGACACACTCTACTGCCGTCTCAGCGTCAACGCCCAGTTTTTCGCCCGCATCACTCACGTCCTCAAGGTCGGCAAAGTACGTAAACTATACGCCACTCGATGCGACCACAAACAACACACGCTTCGTTTGTTCGTTCTTTGCCGATGGCAACTGACATGTTCAACCAAAAAACAGGCCAACTTTAAACCCCCTCCAAAGGTCGAGTCAGCCGTGGTGCGCATAACGCCCAGAACAGGCTCCGAGAAGCCGAAATTCAATTTCGCCGAAATGGATGGCATGCTGAGAGTACGTTTTCACTTTACCTTTTTATTTCGGTCGTGGTCGGTCACTTGTCCGCCGATCTGATTCTGCTTGTTCCACCGAGACACTGACAATGGCGTCCTCCCCTGGCCTCGCCCCTTGCCTTAGATCTCCTTCACGCGCAAAAACCGCACGCTCCGTGCTTCATTTGTTAGCAAAGAAGTACTTGCCATGCTCGCCCGTAACTACAGAGTGTACGCTTCGATGAACGGTATAGCTGTGGACGACAGCCTGGTGGAAGACGCCGCTGCAGACGACGATGACGGCGAAGATGCCGACATGGACGTTGATGACGATGCCGACAACGACGCCCAAGCCGACGAGGAGGACGCGTTTGGCGGCATGGATATCGACGACAACGATGAAGACCTGCCGACGTTCTTCAAAGAGAAGCCGTACGTACCGCCGCCCAAGACACCAAGCAAGCGCAAGCGGACCAAGGTCGACGAGCTGGTGCGCACAAAAGTGCTGCGCGTTCTAGAGCAACTAGAAATGGCCGACCGGCGCTCCAGGCAGTGTGACGAAACAGACTTTTTAAAGCTTCTGGATGCGGTACGTCCTTCTCTCTCCGCATGTCTCTGTTCGATTTCTATTTTTATTTTTATTTTTTATTTTTGTCACCATCCCTTATTTGTGAGCACGTTCTAATCAGCAAAACCACAGATGAACAGCGAGGGTATCCACTTCTCGTGAGCCAACATTGGCCGCGGGTTATGACAATTTTGCAAAAAAAAGTTAATAGTTTCCTTGGGCACGTCTATGTTTATTGGATGCTTAGAACGATGTTTACGCCTATCTTTCTTTTATATCAATTTTCATTCTTTCTTTGTTCCTACGTTTCTCCGTTTCTCCGCTTGACTGCATTTCCACATTTCATATTTTGACAGTTGCAAATGTCGGGCAGAACTCATGTCGTATCTCTTTGGCTTCCGAGCATTTGGGTCTCTGATGTGAAGAGTGGACGCCTGTCCGAAGTGGGGAAAGAAGCGATGGGTACTGTCGGCCTGGCCCGTTCCGAGATGACTTGTTGATAAGGCAGAGGGACATTGACCAACAACAAAGAACAGCAGGCAAAGCAACGAAAATACAATGAAGGGAGCAACAAGCTGAACGAGAGCGGAACGACGAACATTACCAACTGGCCAAAGACGAGCGAATATGAATCCCCGGTGAACAAACGGCCGGAAAGGGTTGCATGGCAACATGAGATTCTTTTTGCGCAACAAACTGCATCGTTGCATTTGTTCTCCGTATGCGTCGCTTTCCTCTTGTTGCACCTTTGGTCTACGCTCATTCATACTCTTGCATACAACTTGGCCGCCACTCCCACGGCGCTGCACCATCAAACAGCCGCGGCTGCGCAATCCATTCACCTTTTTTACGAAGCCCCGTCGACTCCCTCGTGCAAGTCTTCTCAAACCGACGAGCAACGTCCGAGAGTCTGCCTCGGTCGCCCCAGTCAACGAGAATCGGCCGTTACCCAGCGGCAAAGTCACGATACGGGGCCTCCAATGTCGAAGAAGCCTGCTTTTGGCGTTGCACGGGAATACGGACACATCGTGCCACTTGTCTCTGTCCTTATTTGGCCTCGTTTTTGTTGTCATCGTCACCGCATTCGGTTACATGAACTTGCGAAAGTGGGTAGAGACAGCATGGCTTGTGAGGACACATGCGGGAGGCTACGGGAAGCAAAATGAAGAGAAACGAGCAAAAGCATTTTGTGATACAGGAACCACCGAAGAGCTGTTCTCTCGCATCGTCTTGGCCTCATCGTGTGTGGCCTATCCTACTGTCATATATGACACGCCGCGCTCCCATTGATCTGTGTCGCTGCAGAATACGATCAGGTGTGTGTCTCCGCACAGTCTACTTCATCCAACTACTGAATACCGGCGCCTATCAGTTATACCTTTTTATGATCTCACCTTACCCACGCAATAACAGGTCACAATGGCGTCCCCTCCATGCTCGCCGTCTGCTGAGTACGATGAAACATCCACCTTGGAAGACGTACGATACAGCAGCAAATCCGTTCCTCGTATTTCGTTACACAACTTTGAGGCCCGCGTCGGCAGCGTCACGGCTGACATTGCCGCAGCCGCCAAACAGCACGGGTTTTTCATCTTGATCAACCACGCCATTTCACAAGCAGCCATCGACGCACAGTTCTCTGGGGTTTCTTTGCACTGCCCGACGAGATCAAGGCCAATACACCCTATGCGACATCGTGCGATGCCGGCTGGGAGCAAGAGACGATGTTCGTGCCACCATCGGCCGGCGAGACTGCTGCTGCCAACATGCAGCTGTCCAAAGAGGCGAGCGGCCAGTCCAACAGCCGGTACCAAAAGAAAAAGGAGATGTACTGCATGCAGCTCAACGAGTCGCGCATGGCAAGGCGGTGGGTATCCGACAAGGACCTACAGGGGGTTAGGCACCAAAGCCAGTCGTTTATGCAAGCCTGCCACCTCCTTAGCATGCGGCTCATGGTCTGCCTAGCACGCGGTCTGGGCTACACCAAGGAAAACGGAAAGGATGACCACGTCTTTGCCAAGGCCCACGCCATGTCACGGCAGGGGATCCAGACCGTACTGCGTGCGCAACGGTACTATGTCGTGGACCAGCCGCGTCGGCTGCCGTCGCGGGTACCCACCATGCCGACAATGCCGTCTATGCAGACAACGCCCACGACACCGACGACACCGACGGCCACGAACAGCCCCTCCTCGCAATCCAATGGCTCTGCACAAATCCAGGTCGACCGTTCCGGCAGTGCGACACATGCCGACTTAGACTGGTCGTTCTTGACGCTGCGATTCCTGCGACCGGGCCAGAGTGGGCTCGAGATCTGCCCAGGCCGCAAAACCGTGACACGCCATACGACGAGCGCCAACGCCGAATGGACCAAGATTGAAATAAAAGATGGCGACATCGTCTGCAACGTGTAGGTTCTGGCATGGAGCATAAGAGGATCTCTATCTATTTTCTATATAAAAAACACCGAAACTTACTCATCCATGCTTAGGGGCGATCTGCTCATGTTCTGGAGCGACGACCAGTACAAGTCGACGCTGTACCGCGAGCGGGCGCCCGGCGATCCGGCCGTTGGCGTGTACGGCGACTGCTACAGCCTCGCGTACTGCAATCTGCCTAGCAGAGACTGTGTTCTGCAGGGGCCGTTGCGCAAGTACCCGGCAATGACATCTGGCAAACTGATGGATCTGGTGCGGAAGCGCAACATGGCAGAGCTGGAGGACAAGCGCCGGCGCAAAGAAGTTGCAGAAACGATTGCGGCGACGTCGGACGATCCCAGCGCAGTCGCTGGAACGGCCGCAGCTGCACTTGCTTCGCACATGTCGTCATACATGGAGTCGTATTTTATGTGAGTCCGTGAGGGAACGATTGTTTTCTGTGCGAATTATAGACTGTGACCGCCAGAACAATGTTTGTTTAATATTTTCATGTTTTGGTTTTGTTTTGTTTTGAAAATTTGTTAAATTGTTCATATTTTCAGGTCCCAGGACGACTGGTCATCACAGACGCAAATCGAGGAAAAGGCAAAGTCGTCTGAAGGCAAGGGATTTGTCATGCTTGTCTGTTATCGATTTCATCATTTTTTTCTTTCTTTCCAGTTTTGTTGTTTATTTTGGCGGCCTATCTTCCAGCCCATAAATTTATATTTTTGTACACCGGCTTCGCCAGTCCAGGTAAACGAACCGAGAAAAAAAAAGAAATACTAAATATTGAACACGGTCACCTCAGCCATTCGTTGTGTTCTTTTTAATGTAGTGACAACACAGATCGAGAATGGACGATCTGCGACAGGTAGTGCACACTCCACCTTTAATAGTTGGCGCTCTATAGTCTCTGTAGTCCGCCTTGTCGTTCCTTCCAGACATGCACACCCCCAAAGACATCCTTTTAAACACCAATTGTAGCTTATTGGGCCGTGTTACTCGGCAGTGGCCTTCTTCTTGGAGGCACCGCTCTTAACACGCTTGGCGACGGGGCGGTTGATGTGGTGGGCGGGGATCCAGCTGGCGTCAAAGTCCTCGGCACCGGTACCAGCGCCCGTCGACTCGTTGCCGGACAGTGCGTCGGCGCTGGCAGCCTCAGCAGCAGCAGCCACCTTGCGGGCTTTGCGGCCGCCGCTGGAGCGCTTGGCCTGCGGGAAAAGAGCCTCGATCCAGGTCTTGTAAACAAAGTACAGGGTGGCACCGAACACACCAGTCAGGAAGACGTAGAGGAAGATGCTGCACACGTTAGCGGGGAAGAGAGAGAGAGAGAGAGAGAGAGAGAATACGACGGAAGAACGCCACGGAATCACGCACATCTGAGGGTCAAAGATGTTGATCGGGGGGTCGACAATGGTGGCGGTATCGCTGTGGGCAATGACCTGGAACAGCTGGCCCTTGGCGTTGGTGACAATGGCCATGAGGTCGAGGCGCAGCTCACGGGGCTGCAGGTCGAGGACAAAGTTGTAAGGGTAGCCGCGCTTCTCGCCAGGCTGCAGGACGGCGTCCTTGGAGCCCTCGAAGCTGACGGTGGTCAGGTTGACGACAATGTTGGCGGAGGGGGAAACGCCCTCGGGGAGCAGCTGGGGGTTGACGAGGGCACCGCCGAGGATAGACACGCGGACGGGGCTGTCCTCCTGGTTGGTGATCTCGACGATGGCCTTGGTGGCGCGGCCGTTGATGAGCTTGAGGCCGAAGATGTCGGCCTCGGGGAACTTGGTGTCGACGTCAATCTTGACCTCGGCAGCAGCCTTGCCGGCGAGGGGTTCCTCGACGGCCTGGTTGACAAAAAAAACATTGTTAGCAAAACAGCATAATGCGGCAATGCGCAAAATGAAGCAGAAGATGCTTCAATGACGAGAAAGGCCCAAGGGTAGCGCACAGAAAGCCGCCGAAGAAGCTTCACCGAGCCCAGAAATGCCAATTGGCAAAGAGCAAACTTACCGTAGCGACACCGAGAACCTGCAGCGCGAACAGCGCGACAGCAGAGAGCTTGAAGGAAACCATTTTGGACGATGGGAGCGACGGGAGGAGACGAAGAAGAAAAAGAAGAGAAAACGGTAGAGTGCGAAAATCCAATTAAATAAGGATACCGAAAGAAAGAGAACCGAGACCGGACGAAAAGAAAAGAAACGGAAGGGTGGGAAAAGGACGTCGACAACGACGAATTGAAGTCCAGGTGGCTGGTGGAGGAAGACGAAGACGAAGAAGAACAAAAGGGAGAGAATGGTGGAGAAGAAAGGGGTTGCGATGCGAAGTTGGATTCGATCCGTGTCGTGTGCGGTCGCTCCTGCGCGTGGAGTTGTGCGTCGCACGAGGGAAGGAGCTTTGTGGAGAGCGTGGAATTCGGGGTTCCAGGGCAAAAGGGGGGCGAGGCTAAGGGCCATTGGCAGGCGCGACACAGAAGCTTTGGAAGGAACGAAGCACGCCGAAAGTGTGAAATCTGGCCTTCTGAAAGCTTCTCCAGATGGAAGTGGAGCCCTGCGCCAACTTGGCTTATGTAATGGGTTTTGTTGAGCTCAGGACATACAGCAGACACTCAGTTGTTTGGAACGCGAACCGAGTCGTTTCACCTTCAAGTGCCAAATCTCTCTCAACCAACACCTCCGAGACCACTCACGACGATAGAATTGATATTTGAATTCAACACTAATGCAACCAGACTGTTCTATGCAGATGATCAAGCTACAAAGAAAATAGATAGCGATGATGCGCAAAATGCCGCCGACTCGAGAGGGCGGACACCCTCGAAACATGACAAAATTCTTTATTAACCAAGAAACCATTCAAGGGAAGAGAAGATAAGGGAAGACAAAATAAAAACACGAAACAGAAAAACGGCCTTGATGACTTCTCGTCGACCGCGACCGCATCTCCCTCGCTGTTCGACTACCCTTCCACATTATGCCAGCTCCCGCAGCTCGCCGTCGTTCCGCTCCGTCGGCAGCTCAGCCACATCCAGCGTCGCCGGCACAGGTCCGCTGTGGAAGCCCATGCCGGGCTGCGGCGGCGGCGCGCTGTAGGGCGAAATGGTCTCGTTGGGGCTGATGTGGCCGGCGCCGGCAGGGGCGACGGCAGCCGCGTTGTAGGCACCGGCCTGGGGGCCTTGGGCCAGCGGGGGGCTGCCGGCGGCGGAGGGCGTATTGGGGTCGAACGGCTGCTGCTGGCCGTTGGAGAGGTACGGGTCGTAGGCCTTGGCGTCCTGCTGCAGGGGCGGGGACTGCTGCGGCGAGTAGCCGGCGTACTGGTTGTTGGGGTCGTGGTAGGCGGCGGCTCCGACACCGGCGGCAGCACCACCCGCGGCGTAGCCCGCAGGGTCGCCGCCAGGGCCGCCATAGTACGGTCCCTGCTGTGGCTGGCCCATGGGCGGCGGCGCACCGCCAGCGTTGTTGCCGTTGTTGTTGACTTTGTTTTGGTTGCTGCGGCGGAGCAAGAAGAAGGCACCGAGGCCAATGAGGCCGAGACCGGCGACGCCACCGACGACGCCGCCGGCAATGGCGCCGGTGTTGGACTTCTTGCCGTTGTTACCGCCACCATTGCCGCCGCCGTCCGGCGAGGACGACGAGGAGGCCGAGTTCGACGCGGTCGAGTCGCTGGACGTCGTCGGCGACTTGGTGGACTTGCTCGAAGACGAAGACGACGGAGACGAGGACGACAACGATGACGAGATAGACGACGAGGCCGAAGTGGGCAGGAACCAGACCTTGTCGACAGCTTGGGTCTTGCCACAGCCAAGAAGAGTGTAGCCGGAGAAGACTGAGTCGGCGTAGTAGTGTGTCACACACTCGGGGTACGCGGAGTCTCCACTGGAGAGGGGGGACACGGGAAGGTGTTAGCATTTTGCTACAAACAAAGGGTCAGCAACAGCGGGGCGCCGAGAGACACATACCACCACAGGGTGTACCCGTTGCTGGTCGTGTACAGCGAGTGCTTGGACGAGGGATAGCACGTCGTTGGGAGGGGACAGGCCGTCGAGGTGTCCGGGCAGCAGCCGGCAAATTTATTGATTGAGTTGGCGACGCACTCCTGATACGTTTCGCAGTAGAGCGAGATGCTGCTGATACCGCTGAGGTAGGCGCAGGTGTTGTCGGTCGTGTGGCGCTTGGCGATGAAGCGCGGATCCAAGGCCGGTGGGGGCGTGGTGGCAGGCGGCTCAGGGGCGTCGACATAGTCGTGCATCGCAGCCTGGAAGCTGGACTCGGCATCGCCATAGCCCTCGCCGGCAGCAATGAGGACGGCAGCGGCGATGGCCGTCTCAACAGGCGGCTGCCAGTTGCGCTCAACGTTGTGGTGGTCGTAAAGGGCGCTGCGGCGAGCTTCGGCCGCGGTGGCCAAGCAGGCGGCCGCGGCGACGGCCGTCGCGACGTGTGCGAACTGCTTCATATCCTCCTAACAGCTGCTGTTCCTCTAAATAAATCGATTCGTCGTAGTCTTCTCGGGCCTGGAACAAGATTGTGAGCGCGCGTTCGGGTAATTCGTTATATGGCTCTGTGCACGACGGAGCGGATACAGCCGAAGCTCAATCTATTTATTTGGTAAATAGGAGAGAGTATGGTTGCATGGTGTGAAGGCAATATATGCGCGCACACGGCTCAAAAGGGACGAAGAAATTGTCGCGGAACGTACACGATGAGATTCAACGGGATGCTGTGCAGCAGGATGCAACAAGACGCAAAAGGAATCAAAACCAAAACCGCAAAACCGTGCGGGAAGAAGCAAGTCAGGAAACAAAATCGAGCACCAAGGGAAAGGAGCCAAGAAAAGCGCAGGCCAAGAATTGCGGAACTGGGGAAATGAATGGTCAGAGAGCCAGCCCGACAAGTCTCGCTGGAGCTGAACTGACCCGACCAGGGTGCGGCAGTGTGTATCTTGTAATTACCACGACGAACACGAGTAATACGCCTGTTGTCCGTACGAAGCAGAACTAGCCCGCTCCGCTTCCAGTTCCGCTCAGCCTCACCACCCTGCCACGACTGTTGCATGCTTACTTCGTACAGACCGCCCACACCACCCGGTTGACTGGTTCGTGGGAGCAGCGGCAGGCGGACTCAAATGTTTATTACAGAGATTCAAACGACGGTAGGGCATATGGTCGACAGCGACGGCTATCTCGATATGACCCTATCGTCAACAATGACGATGGCGAGATGCAATTTGCAATGTTGCAGCGCCGCGTATTTTCCTGCGTTGCATCACACTGACCAGCACAAAACAGAAACAACAGCCGACTCCTCCACAGTGGTGGGCAGAAACGAGCCGTTGTGCTTCACGCGCGGCGTTTTCTTGCCCACATGGCTTGCTGTGAGGCAGAACCGACGAGATAGGAGGTTATGAAAATAGGGGACCTGAAGTCGCGGTGCAGAAGTGTGCTACGGAAAGGGCCTAGTGCGCTAGGGAATATTGATTGACACTGACAACAAAGACAGAACAGGACAAAAGAGAGGGTGGGAAAGACCGACCGCGGTTACACCTTTGGGCTGGAGGCTAGTGGCCATGGATAGCGTGAGAGGAAAGCGCTGTTGGGCTGTATTTCGTACCTTCTTGGTTTGTCGTGCGCGCTGTTGTGAAGGTCTGCCCCATGTAGAAAGAGCCCTGGCTGACGATGACTTTTTCTGGAAAGAGCGACGCAGCCCTGGCTGTTGAAACGAAACAACAGCACAACCATAAATGGCGAATGAAACGAAACAAAATCACAAGCGAACCGAATAGAGGTGACCGTTCGACGAGATGCGCGTAAACCATTCCCTGGTAGAACACGGGGAAGCAAAGTTTGGTGTAAGGCCGTTGTTCCCTTATCCACATGGGACCCACCTAAAGGCTAACTGCGCCCTGAAGCGTTGGCGAAAAAGGCGCTTTTTAGCTATTTTAGCTATTTTAGCGGGGCTGAGGGCTGAAATTGGGTAGTGTCTGGTCTCCGTTTTTCGCTCACAACCCTTTCTCAACTTTTGCATCTTTTCCTCCTCATTTCCCGCCTGTTCGCCCGCCATTTTCTACTTATCTTACTTGCGGCACCCGTTGTTTGTTAACTGTGGTTTTCATCTCGTCCACGCGGGTCTCGCCTTTGTTTCGCTCCAAAGCCACACCAAACCTTATCCTTATTTTCTTGGCGCGGCGCCAGCTTCCCAGTTTTTCTGCTTTCTACAGCGTCGATTTTGATACGAACATCGCGAGGCCGTCTAAATCGGGACTCTTGGCCTGTTAGTGCGGGCTTGTGAACGTTACATACACAACACCGCGAAAACGTGGCGCTGTTTCTCTCAGCCACCTTCTCTCACATTGCTTACCAAAAGCCCTGCCAGAAGTCTGGACAAAGTCTGTCCGGACGAATTGCGCGTTGGAAGCCCAGTAATAACTTGTGATATGCGGCTCGCGTGGGTTTCGTTTGCTGGAGATGTATACGAAGTAGAGGATGCTGAGAAGATGGTTCCAGACTCTTGCCGACACCTCGAATAGTCGGTAAAGGACATGCCGAATGCTCCAGAAATCACTCTGACGTAACAGATGCTGTTAACTCTTGACGGCCGTGTTCTTCGTCCTCGTTGGAGGTCGTCTATGGTGACCGGCACGGCAATGTCGCAGGATACGGCTACGCGCGACTTCGATGCGGAGCCACAGGGTCCTGCGGCGGCACGCCAAGATTCGACCAAGACGCGCTTGGATCTTGCTGGCGCCGTCGAAGAAGGAAACATGAGCGACGTTCGCAACATCGTTACCCGCGAGCTTGGTGACAGAGACGCCGACACCGCGTCAACGACGGTGACATGGGCTACCGTCTCATCCGCCAGGCTGCCGTACCTACCGGTGCGCCGCCAACGGCGCCGAACAGTGGCCTGCGCATCCGTCGTATACTCGACCGTGGCGCCGGTATGTATGTAGAGGGCCCCGGCTGTCAGCTCCGCGCACCTACCAGTCTGTGCTCAACCAGATTCGCGGCATGCTGCCGATCTGTTGCTCGAACGCGGTGCCGACTGTGTCTGCCTTTCATCCTCATCGGCAGAATCTGGCGCGACATCTGGCAACGCCGTATATCATGGCCGTCTTGATTTCAGCGTACATGTCGTCCAACACGGCACTTGTGCAGCTTCAGCTAGACCTAGACCTCGTCTTTGATGTCGACGAGGTGGTTGATGAAAGCAGTCGGAAAATGAGCACATCAGCAAGGCTATCGTTGACGTGCACATCCAGCGTGACAGTACCAAAGGTAACCAGATTGTTGCCTAAAAAGCTCTACTGCTCTGACGCACACGGAGCAAGGAGCGGCTGGCATCCACCCTATCACAGTCTACAGCACGAACAAGAACGGGTCGGCTCCGCTAATGTTGAAACAAACAACTTAGGTGACAACGAACAAGGCCCAAGAAGCCAACGTTATAACTGCAACTCGGACTGCGTCCTACCTTAGCTGCAACGTACAACGCCGACGAGGCAGGACATACTTGTCGTCCGTCCGCCGAGATAACGCAGAACTGGCCAAGCAGTAGGGCATCGCGTAATGTATGGCCATCGAGGGTGCCCAGGGTCCGCTGTTGGGCGGAAAGTATTCTGTATGTCAAGCTGGACATGTCTGATCGCGACATTGCGAAGATCTTCGTGCCGTCCGTGTTGGGAGGAAAAGGAGCCAAAAGGCATGCCCAGAATCGCCCAGGAGGTGACGAATGGTCTCCATAAACAGAAGCTGCATACCGAATGTCTGTCATCAACAGAATTGTGTGCTGTTGCCCGCTCGTTTTCGGGTTCTGTCCCGTGCGTTCGTGCGGTTCGCAGGTTGTCTGGCCCCACTTGTTTTCTAAGCAGAGTCCGGATCGCTTTGATTCCGAGAGCTTGGTCTCGTACGAGTTGGCCAGATGCAGCAGCACCGGCTGCGCGGACGACCTCCTTCTGGCGTCCACCGCCAAGCAATGTGCCGAGACAAGCTGACAGCACGGCATGCATTTGACTATCGCCGAAGCAGCCGCAGCTTCACTCTTGCGCTGTAGAAACGAGTGCTTGCGGGCTACTTGGTGCGACATGTCGTCGTCACAAGCCACGACAGTTGCTTGGCAGCTGCAGCGCAGTTGGTGAGGCCGGCCGTCGAAGCCTCAGTATGTCCATTGTCTGTTAGTTGATTCCAAGAGCTACATCTTGGACAAGTCCGACACCCACGCGGCTAGGTGAGCGCACATGGCAGAACGGCTGCACCAATAAACAAGAATCCCGTTGGCACCAAAGCTGACGGCTGTCGCCGCTCTTTCTGCGCCGTTGATTCCATGTCTGCTCTTCGCCAATTGAATTGCAGACTGGCCAGGTCGACTTACAGCGTTCAGCCCCCGCCATTGGCTGCAACGTCGGACGTTTTATGAATGTCGTGCATGTGCTTTGTTGTGTGTTTTTTGTCGAGCTTGATTTTGGTTGAGAAAAGGCAGCTCTCAGCGTCCGAATACGAGTCCCGGACACTTATGTAGCTGGGCAAAACAGCAACTGCGATAAAGTGGGGCAGCGTTGCTGGGAGGCTCTAATAAGTGGGCCTGTCAGGGGGAAAATCAGGGTCGGCAAAGCATGCGCTTTTCCCACGGCATTTACCACTTTCCAGATCTTTCGCAGGAGCTTAACGCGGATTGGCAGGCGCAAACCACACCTGCTCGATAAAATTGGTGGCTCGTCCCTTCCCTTCGTTTTTATATATCGTTTCGTTCTTTCCCTCGTCGCTCCTTTGTCTTTGTTTGCTCTCCACGCTCGTTTCCACCTCACCAACCATCCTCTTCGTCTCTCCCCAGCACCGCCGCCATGAAGGTTCTTGCCATCATTGTCGCCGTCCTGGCGTCCCTCATCTTCCTGATCGAGAAGAACCTCGACTCCTTCTACATCTTCGACACCGTCCACCTGCACGACCTGGCCCAGCGCGCCGTGGCTGCCCACGGCAACGACACCGGCGCCATTGTCAACTTCATCACCAGCGAGCTCAAGGGCCATGCGAAGCTGTCCTCGTACGTCAGCGACAATGGCGAGTGGATCCTCAACAACGCCGGCGGTGCCATGGGCGGCATGACCATCCTGCACGCCAGCATCACCGAGTACCTGATTGTCTTTGGTAGGTCCCGATCTTGTTTTCTCCTTTTGTTCTCCTTGTGTTCTCGTGTTCTCCTTTTGTTCTCCTTGGGTTCTCCTTGGGTTCTCCTTGGGTTCTCCTTGGGTTCTCCTTGGGTTCTCCTTGGGTTCTCCTTGGGTTCTCCTTGGGTTCTCCTTGGGTTCTCCTTGGGTTCTCCTTGGGTTCTCCTTGGGTTCTCCTTGGGTTCTCCTTGGGTTCTCCTTGTGTTCTCTCTTGTTTTGTCTACCCGCCCTCTACCGCTGCTCGGCATAGACCACGACTAACAAACAGGCACCACCGTGGGCACCGAGGGCCACACCGGCCGCCACACCGCCGACGACTACTTCCACATCCTGACCGGCGAACAGTGGGCCTACGTGCCCGGCCTGTTCCAGCGCGAAGTCTACGGTCCCGGCGAGGTACACCACCTGCGCCGTGGCGACGTCAAGCAGTACAAGATGCCCGAAAACTGCTTCGCCCTCGAATACGCCCGTGGCTGGATCCCTCCCATGATGTTCTTTGGCTTTGCCGACGGCTTCTTCAGCACCCTCGACCTGCCGACCCTGTGGCGCACGACCTACGTCACAGCGGTCCAGATGATTGGCAACCTCCTGGTTGGCAAGATCTAAGGGCACAGGCCATTTGGAGAGGTACAAAAAAACGAAAAACAGCGTTGGATGAAGAGAAGATGGTGGCAGAACCGGACACAAGACAAACTAGGACGACCCTGTGTCCCGTGGTTGTGGTACAGCGCAGCGACCATCCTAGATCCATGCCGCGGGCTGTGTGTAGGCACTGATTCATAGTTATTTTGAGGGTCGGTGACTGTCACTGCACAGCGTCCTGTACAACTAAAATATACGACTTTTAATATACAGATCTTGACTGCAGCTACTTGGAGTATCGTACGTCAGCATCTTCAAGTGCGTTCCTTGGTACAGTCGCTAGGACCAATTCGACTCGTAGCAAGCCGCCATCGCAATACGGCCAGGCTTCAGGTCACGAGTCTTTTTAAATCAATGACTCCAACGTACCCAGTGAAGAGTCTCAATGGCAAGAATTGTGCCTTGTAAAGAGTATCCCGTTATGGAAACAGTGCATGTGATTCTGAGTCACGAGACCGTCGTAAGAGTCTTAAGCAGCGTGTCATAAAGTGCAATCCGTCAATGCGAAACAGAAAGTAGGAAATCGCTCCAAAGCCAGGCATTGTTTCAGTTCCGTCGTGGAAAAAGCGCCTTGTGATCAGAGACGTCGTTCTCCCTTGCGCTTTCGCCCAAATGGACTTGCCGTTTGACGTGACTCAAATGGGGTTGTTCCTGCCCAGAAAAAAAGGGCGGTCAGAGGCGGCGATAAAATACTGGCCAAGGTCGCCGCGGGGAAGGCACGGCTGCGAGTCAGCGGAGGAGAGGGGCATGTTTCCTATTTGTTGCTGTTAGCGGGCTAAAGTGCCACCAATTCAGCCTTTGGCGCTCGTTTCACAGGCGCTCATTCTGGATTTTTTTAGACGACTTTTTCGTCGCTCCTGCCTTTTCCTGAGCCTTCTTCTCTCTGCAACATAAACACATCGTCGCCACTTTTTACAAATCTGCCCGCAGACCGACAACATGGACGGACAGGACGCCAAACCCCTGGCGGCTGACCGTACGCTGAAGCTGGAAAACGTATGCTGCTGCACCGCCCTTGCACGCAAAAAAAGCATGGACACTGATATGGCTGACTCTCTTGACTCCAAAACAGACGGAGAAACGTGACACTCTGATTGCCGTAAGTCGAAAACCCGTCCACTGCTCCTCTCGACCCATATGCGCTTCGAATCAACCTCTGACCGCCTGTCTCTGCTCTAGGACGAGCTGCGGTTCCAAGATGAGTGGGCCAAGGCCAAGCACTTTGAGCAGGATGCTCCCCTGCCCTCCGAGCCCGAGCAGGACAAGCTCTTCACGACCATGGCCTACCCCTACATGAACGGCAGTCTGCACGCCGGCCACTGCTTCACATTCTCCAAAGTCGAGTTCATGACCGGCTTCGCCCGCATGGAGGGCCGCCGCGCCCTGCTGCCCCAAGGCTTCCACTGCACCGGCATGCCCATCAAGGCTGCCGCCGACAAGCTGACGAGAGAGGTGGAGATGTTCGGCCAGTTCTTTGAGCGTGCGCCCGGCACCGAAGAGGAGCAGGGCCTGGCCATCCGCCCCGCGGCGGGCGCAGAGGCCCCTGCTGCTGCTGCTGCCGACGCGGCTCCCGCAGACGCCAAGGCGAAGACAGACATGAGCAAGTTCAGCAGCAGCAAGAGCAAGGCTGTCGCCAAGAGCGGCAAGACCAAGTACCAGTATGAGGTGGGTAGTTTTCGGAAGTACGTGTACGTCGGGTCACAATGGCCACTAACAGTGGCGTTCCCCAGATCATGGTGTCCCTGGGCTTCGACCTGAAGGAGATCCACAAGTTCACCGACCCCGAGCACTGGCTGCAGGTGTTCCCTGAGCGCTGCGAGACCGACCTGCGCCGCATGGGTGCCCGCGTCGACTGGCGCCGCTCCTTCGTCACCACCCCCGCCAACCTGTACTACGACGCGTTTGTCCGCTGGCAGATTACCCGCCTGCGCGAGCTGGGCAAGATCAAGTTCGGTAAGCGCTACACCGTCTACAGCCCCAAGGATGGCCAGCCCTGCCTGGACCACGACCGCAGCTCCGGTGAGGGTATCACCGTCCAGGAGTACGTCGCCCTCAAGATGAAGACCCTGGCGTGGTCCGAGACCGCCAAGCAGATCATCGGCGATAAGATCCCCGCCGACGCGGATGTCTTCTTCGTCCCCGCCACCCTGCGCCCCGAAACCATGTATGGCCAGATTTGCTGCTTCGTCGGCCCCAGCGTCGCCTACGGCATCTTCAAGGCCCCCGTTGCCGGCAAGGACGGCAAGTTCGAGTACTACCTGTGCACAGAGCGCGCTGCGCGCAACATGGCGTACCAGAACGTCTTGCCGTGGGGCGCGTTCGAGTCCGTCGTGCAGCTGATGGGCTCCGACGTCATCGGCACCCTGGTCAACGCCCCGCTGTCCGTCTACGAGAAGGTGTACATCCTACCCATGCAGACCCTGAAGCCCACCAAGGGTACCGGAGTCGTCACGTGCGTGCCGTCCGACAGCCCCGACGACTACGCCACCGTCACGGATCTGCTGCGCAAGCCGGAGTACTACCACATCCAGAAGGAGTGGCTGGACAAGGACATTCTGCCCGTCATTCAGACCCCCTCGTCCGACCTCATCGCCAAGTTTTTGGTCGAGAAGCTGAAGATCAACTCGCCCAAGGACACGAAGCTGCTGGAGCAGGCCAAGGAGCAGGCATACAAGGAGGGCTTCTACCAGGGCACCATGCTGGTCGGCGCACACAAGGGCACACCCGTACAGGACGCCAAACCCCTGATCCGCAAGCAGCTGCTGGATGCCGGCCTGGCCTTCAACTACGCCGAGCCCGATGGTGAAGTCATCTCCCGCTCCGCCGACGTATGCGTTGCCGCCTACCTGGACCAATGGTACCTGAACTACGGCACGACCGAAAACGGCGGCGACGGCGAGTGGTGCGAGCAGGTGCTGGACGCTCTGGAGGACGGCACCGTCAACTGCTTCTACCCGGAGGCGAAACACGCGTTTGAGCAGACGCTGAACTGGCTGGGCCACTGGGCATGCTCGCGCTCGTACGGCCTGGGCACCAAGCTGCCGTGGGACGTCTCGCAGCTGGTCGAGAGTCTGAGCGACAGCACCGTCTACATGGCCTACTACACCGTCTGCGTGTACCTGCACAGCGACATCTTTGGCAAGACGCCCGGCAAGGCCTCCAAGCCGATCACGCCGCAGCAGATGACCAACGAGGTCTGGGACTACGTCTTCTGCCGCACCGACGCGGTGGAAAGCGACATCCCCAAGGAGGACCTGGAGGGCATGCGCCGCGAGTTCCAGTACTTTTACCCGCTGGATGCACGCATCTCGGGCAAGGACCTGATCAACAACCACCTGACGTTCTGCCTGTACCACCACACCGCCCTGTTCCCCAAGAAGTACTGGCCGCGCGGCATGCGCGTCAACGGCCACCTGCTGATCAACGGCCAGAAGATGAGCAAGAGCACGGGCAACTTCCTGACGCTGCGCGAGTCCACCGAGAAGTTCGGCGCCGATGCCACGCGCGTCGCCCTGGCCGATGCCGGCGACGGTATTGAGGACGCCAACTTTGAGGAGTCGGTGGCCAATGCCACGATTCTGCGCCTGTACGAGCTGCGCAAGTGGGCGCAGGAGACGGTCGCCGACACCACGCTGTGCACGGGCGAGCTGGGCCTGTTCGACAAGATGTTTGACAACGAGATGAACACGCTGGTCATCGAGACCAAGAAGCACTACCAGGACACCTTCTTCAAGCTGGCCCTGAAGAGCGGCTTCTACGACTTCACCGCCTCGCGCGATTGGTACCGTGACATCACCAAGGCGTCGGGCGACGGCATGCACCTCGACCTGGTGAAACGCTACATCGAGCTGCAGGCCCTGCTGCTGACGCCCATTGCGCCGCACGTCTGCGAGTACCTGTGGCGCGATGTCCTGAAGCACGAGGACAGCGTGCAGACGGCGCTGTACCCGACCGTGCCGGACCCCAGCCCAAGCCTGACGGCGGCCCGCAACTACATCCGTAACGTACGTTCCTAGCCCCCCCACATGCCATGACCAAAACTGTACGACTCTATGAGCTCATGTAATACTGACTACTGACGCTGCTACTAGACCACTTCAAACATCACGGCCGCCGAGGGCCTGCAGACGAAGAAGCTGGCCAAGGGCAAGGCCATTGCGTTCGACCCCAAGAAGGCCAAGAAGCTGACCGTCTTCGTTGCCGACGCCTTTCCCGAGTGGCAGGACAAGTGCATTGAGGTCGTGAAGCAGGTGCTGGAGGCGACGGGCAGCATCGACGTCAAGAACGTCTCGGGCAAGCTCGACAAGGCGGAGCTGAAGAAGTCGATGCCGTTCATCCAGGCGCTGAAGAAGCGCATCGACGGTGGCGAGGACGCGACGGCCGTGTTTGACCGCAAGCTTGCGTTTGACGAGCTGTCCACGCTGGAGACCATGATCCCGGGCCTGAAGCAGACGGTCAACAAGCTGGAGACGGTCGTGGTTGTGTCTGTCAAGCCGGGCGCGACGTCTGGCGTAGTGCACAAGGGCGAGGGCCAGACGCTGGATCCCCTGCCGCAAGCGGCGGCGGCTGCCACGCCGGGCAACCCGAGCTTCCTGTTCGAGAACGCGTAGGAGGGAGTGACTAGACAAAAGTTAAGAAAGGTGACTGAAATCTACACGGAGGATTTTGGACGTATCAGGTTAGGGTAGAGAGGCATATTACCCATTTGTGTTTTTTTTCTATTTGTTACGCTTTTTCCTCGTGTTTTGCAATAAAATAAGACAAATAAGATAAAATAATGCAAAAAGAAAGAAAAGAATAATAATATCTGGTAGATAATAAGATCCACTTACTCCGTATACTCTTTAGCATTATAAAACGCAAAATCGCTTGCCTCGCCTCAAGTTACCCTTCATGATAGAATGATCTGCAGGTTTTTGTGTTGCGAACCGCGTTTTCCTCAAGAACGGCTCGAGACGTTCTGGAATGGTGACAGGTTCGGCAAATGTAGCAAATGTAACGAGTTGATGTGCAAGTTGACACCAGTTATTGCGCAGAAAATACAGCAATTCGGTGTTTGATGGACAGGTTTGACGGAGACGCTGTAATGAACCCGATTGAGAAAGTCCGACCAAGGGGCTTGAGCGCTCATCCACAAGCGGTTGTGAAACGGCAGGAAACACAGCAGTGCTGGCCAACGCTCCTGCCTCTGCGCTGTCGGCGAGCAGTTCCTTCCCGTCTTTCGTAGAATTTGTGTTGTTACCCTTCCTACCTTCCTGATCTGCTGTCCATCCCTTTCCTACGGGTTGAATTGCCGGCCGCGCTTTCTCGACCATTTGGGGTCTGCTTACAACATACATGTACCAGAGTTCTTACACCTGCCAAACGCTTGTTCCGCTGGAGGCCTGCCGCCGACAAGCAAAGGCAGGCGCCATCGGGCGACTGCCACACCCACTGACAGATGTGGGACCCTTACGGCTAATTTGCAACATAGCAATCCATAGCAGCTTCTGTAATTCGTAGTGGATACGGAGGAAAGCTGCTCTGGAACAGCTTGGCAGCTTGATCAGCGACAACTATGACGACAGTGTTCAGACGCTTCCCTGAGTGTTTTGTACGAGTCATTGGATTGAAGTCGGCTGCCTCATTGCACGATTCCACTGTTCACAAGAGCCTGGTGCAAATAAAAACGTTGGAGTGTGCCAAGCGGAGAACGGTGTTTGACAGTCGTGCCTTCCCTCCCTCAACTCACAGTGGGCCATCTACACACGTGCGGCTAAAACTGCCCAGGAGGCAAGAGCGTTGCGACAAACCTGCAAGCTATCGAAACTGTCCATCTGCAAAATGTACATTTTGTCGTTTTTGCTCTTGTGCTCGATTCCCTATTCCTATCAGTTCCCTTTCGCGCCTTCGATATTGCACGCGACCTTGTCGTGACGACGCACACGCTAGGAAACTCAGCAACACAGCCAACACGGGGTTACGAGCGGGCACGCAAACAGGGGCAGTTTGATGCGAGCAAGACACAGCAACAGGAGGATCTACGGTAAAGACGGCAAAGACGGCACAAAGAAACAGGAAAGCAGAAAGAGGGACAAGAAACACCTCAAATCGAATAAAATACGCGACCCGACCGATCGCCACCCGTCCAAGAACGCAACGACCGTTCCCAGGCGTGCGCCCCCCATTCTTATCTGCTGCATCGAATCTTGGCCCGTGTGGAGCCGCATCTAATCTTTCTGGGTTCTGTGTTTCCTCCACCGCCTCCCCCTCTTCCTCGTTCTCGATTTGTGCAAGATTTCGGGGTCCGAGGGTGTGCTGCCGAGGGGCGGCGCTTTGTCGCCTACTCTGCCGTCTGTGGTCTGTGTGTTGTCCACCGGCCTCTCTCTCTCTCTCTCTCTTCTTTCTTTTGTTTTTTTTTTTTTTTTTTTGTTAATCTTATCCTACTCTGCGCTGGAGACCTGCAGCTCCTTCCTCTTTTCAGTTTCCGTGAGACCCTCTGCTCTTTCCCTATCCCGCGTTCATCCAATTTAATGTCTCACATCCACCCTCACAATTTTATTTCCATCTAAATTGCCTCTTTTCCTCCGCACAGCTACTTTACATTCCGTCCCTTTTCACTTTTCTTCTCTTTCTCTTCCACCTTCGGTCCTTCTTTCGCTGCGAACTACATCCTCCAGTCGTCCCGTTAGGCCAGCGACGTGCCTCTTCTGATAGACTGCCATTCGAAAAGGGGCACTTCGCCAAGCTCCACACAAACAACACCCAAAACGCTTCGCCTTTTCGTTTGAGTTGTGGCCCAGCGCCGAGGTACACGAACAAGCCATGGAGCCCGACTTGAGCGCCAGCATCACAAAACACCCCCATCCCTTCCGGCTCGAGCACTCGGCCCCGGCGAGCCGCTCATCATCGCGCACACCAGGCGCTCTGGACCGCATCGAGCGCAGCACCGACCAAAACAATGCCTCTAGTACGGGCGTTGATTATAAGCCCGAGGAAGACGATGGTGCGGCCGTGGAGCGGCATCAGGCGATCCACCCCGCGAGCCCCAGCGAACAGAGCGCGCTGAGCAGCCAGACAGCCGGCCGGGTCACCGATGTCGAAGGCCAGACGACGGTCGGTCCTGGTGGTGCCGGGCGTCTGCCGCATGTCCTCGCCGAGAACGACCCATATGGCCTGTCGTCGGCCTACAAGACCGACAAGGAACTCGAACAAATCCAGTCGACCCTTACGCAGAGGAAGAATGCCGCCGGTGTAGGGAGCGGCGACGACGGCAGCGGTGGAAGCAGCCCCGGTGGCAATACGAGAGCCGACGGGGGTGTCGTCAGCAGCAGCAGCAGCAGCAGCGGGGGACACGCCAATGGCGCCAGCGGCCAGCAGAGGAGCAACCAGGGCTTGTTGGCACGGTGTTTGCCGATCCCGTTTCCGTCCATTCGGTTTCCCGGCATGCCGTCGTTTGCGCGCCGCGCGCTCCAGAAGCGCAAGCTACAGGGCTTCTACAAGTCGCAGAACGCCACCATCGAGAACATGCTCAAGAGCGTCGAGGAGCACCAGGCCGAGGCCCGCCAGGAACACGGCGATGACCAACTGCGCTACCGCATCGCCGTGTACGGCTCGTTCGCGGCCAACCTGATTCTGGCTGCGCTGCAAATCTACGGCGCCGTGTCGTCCGGCTCGCTCTCGCTCTTCACGACCATGGCCGATGCCATCTTCGACCCGCTCTCCAACGTCACCCTCATTGTGTCCAACCGCGCCGTCAAGCGTGTCGACCCGGCGCGGTTCCCGTCCGGCAAGGCCCGCCTCGAGACTGTGGGCAACATCGTGTTCTGCTTCCTGATGACGGCCGTCTCCTTCATTCTGATTGCCTTTTCCATTCGCGAGCTCGTCGAGGGCCGCTCCCCCGACGAGGGCGACACCAAAAAGTTCCACCTGCCGTCGGTGCTCGCCGTGGCCATTGCGTTTGCCACGAAGCTCGCGCTGTTCTTTTACACCTGGGCCATCAAGGACCGCTACAGCCAGGTCAACATTCTGTGGCAGGACCACCGCAACGACCTGCTGATCAACGGCTTTGGTCTGTTCACGAGTGTCGGCGGCAGCAAGCTCGTCTGGTGGATCGACCCGGCGGGCGCCGTGCTGATTGGTGTCATTGTGTCCACCATCTGGCTGCGCACGGCCTTTGCCGAGTTCCTGCTGCTCGTCGGCGTCGTCGCGTCCGTCGAGACGCAGCAGCTCATCACCTACGTCTGTGTGACGCACTCGCCGGCCGTGCAGCAGATCGACACCGTGCGCGTGTACCACTCGGGCCCGCGCCTGATTGCTGAGGTGGACGTGGTGATGCCGCAGGACGCGACGCTCGGCGAGACGCACGATGTCGCAGAGGCGCTGCAGTCGAAGTTGGAGTGCCTGCCGGACGTGGAGCGCGCGTATGTGCACGTGGACTACGAGACGACGCACAAGCCCGAGCACGCCTACAAGAAGGACCTGTGAGGAGGAGGGGCGGAAAAGTAAGTGGCGGAAGGGACATGGGAGAGTGGCGTTGTAGATGCTTTGGTGAGGCGTGTCTCGGTTGGTTGGCTTGGGTTGATTATTTGATATTTCTCTGTGTGATACTCCTCTTTGTTCTAGATCTCTCTCCCAGTGCGCAGCATGATTTTCCTTTTGTATTTTTGACCACGACCGTACGAACACGACACTGTCTTTGACACAGAAAAGCTTCAAATAAAAATGCTTCAAAACTACGACTTACAGCTGCATTGCGGACAAGCACCCTGCCTCCCTGCTTGCATAGTGAAGGGCCATGTCCGCCAAAATGTCACGCGCGCACATTGCGTTGCAGACAGAAAGTCAGTCTCTGCAGCGTCTGCCGTTATCAACTCGACGGCGGCTGCAGCGGAAACTCATGCCCAGCAATTGCAGGTTTTACGGCAGCCAATGGAGAGGGGGCAGCTGCTCGCCTCCGCAGCCGACGTTATGCGGGGAAAGCTGCAGCTCGCAGCAAACGAAGCGATGGGCGCAGATCAGCGGAGCATAGCATGCTCTGCTGCCAACAGCCTGAGTGGTGGGTGGTGCTGCAGAAAGTGGAGATAGTCGGAGATGGTGGCTGTCGTCTGTTTAGCTACCCTCCTTCTAGCGGGCGCGTGTCCTAGTTTGGGCAGCTAGCGTTGGCAGGTGGGATCTGGCAGTTGGCAGCGCGTTCGATGCTGCGTTTCGTAATTCAACGTAGTCTTCAGACTTGGCACTTTCCTATTTTACGGTAGCAGACCCCGATGACTGACTTTGTTTGGCCAAAAAAGGAAGTCCCAGAGCCACGTACGAGGCTGCCAAAGACAAGGAACTGGAAGGAGCGGACGAGGTAAAACGAGCATATGGCTTGCAAAGTAAGATGAAATGACATGGTGCGAGGCTGTCTCATCTGGTTCTGAATCGCATTCCGCCGTTGGTTTCGGGTGCCTTTGCAGATGAGACAGCATCTGCCAAGATTAGACAATACGCCTTCTCGATATATAGAGGGATAAATACGACACAAAAGGATGGCCTTGCCCCAAGCTTTATCAATCCAAGGCAATATCTGAGTTTGAGACGTGAGAAGACACGGAGGAGTTTGCTAGATGGCTGCACTGCGTCCAAATACCACCACCTGGAACGTCTTGAATTGCAAAGCATTCTAGAGGTGACAAGAGAGTCCTGCAGCTCAGAATGTCAATGTAGTTTGCGGTGTCAAAGCTGCCGACTTGCTTCCTTCCCGTTTGAGAGCAGAGGTGTTGTTGCCACGAACTTGTCTCAAAGATCAGTGGAAGGAGCCCCCGATGCGCCGACCCGTTGGTCTGGCCCGCTGGCTCCACTGAACAATCCAGTCATGGAGTAATTACGAATATATAGCAAAAGCTCTGGCCACCAAGAAAGACAGGGTTCCTTTCCTAAACTGGCCTAGACGGAGACGAGCCATTCGCAAAAACATAAGGAAAAGAAAACAAGAAACAAGAACGAGCGAGAGAAAGAACGGCTATGTCGCCTCCTCCACTCTTACATGCCTGCAGACATGCACACATGCACATGGTCACATAGCACAACGTGCCTCATTTTCTTCCTCGTTTTCTTAATGCTCTCCGCATTCTACCCTCGCCGCCTCGAAGCTGTGCTGCATCAAACAGGCGTTCTTCATTGTCTATCTGGCATCTCATCTTCGCCTTGGTACCTGCCTTCCCATCTGCCGTCCCAACGCTCTTTCCGTCTTGTCCTCCCGGCTCCATTCTCCAGCTCCTTCCTCCAGCCGGCTCTATCTATGTGGTGACTGACGCCACTCTTGTACATCACTTGTGTATTTTGTGTTGCTTCGTGTTTTGTCTTGGTCGACATCCCCTCTTTCCTGGTTAATATCGCCTGCGTGTCTCCGCCCCTCGGAACTCTCTTCATTCCTCTCCTGACTTCTCCGTTTTCTTTCCCTTGTTCTCTTTGCTGTTTTCTGTACAATTCTCAACCATTTTGCGGCTTCTCGTCTTGCCGTCGTGTTTTGGCCCATCGCTCTTGCCTCGCGGTTCCTGGTGTCTCACTTGTTTAGCTCCAGTCGCTCTTTCCACTGCTCGTTCCTCACGCCTCGCGACCCACTTATCGGGCAACCACCACCCCTAACAAACCCCAAGCTCATTTAAAGCTCCGCGTCGCGGCTCCTTCTTCCGGACGCTCTTTCTTTCGCTCTTCTTGCCTTGTCGCCTTCTCATCTGCGTGACTTTTTGTTGTCCTTTTCTGCATCGTCCATTTTGCTTTCGATTGCTTATCGGGCTTCACTTCTCCCTCAGGACGCCCAATCGCTTTTCCAACGCGATGGCTCTTCAGAGTGGGGAGGACATTTACGCCACGGTACGCATCTTTGTCTCAGCTTTCCAGACGGTGGTCACCTGTCTCTTCCCCGCAAATCGCAGAGACATTGCCTTTTAATATTTATGTTTTCTCGTGAGATTGACATGCTGATGACGCCCCATTGCAGCTTCTTACGAGCGACACGTACTTGCCAGGTATGCTTTGGTTGAGACAACTGACATTCTGGACTTATTGTTGCGAGGCCAAACTGAGCTCTCGAAGGTCCGGAAGTTGACCGAGCTCCGGATCGCGACAGCTCCATCGGTCCGGCTTACAGCTGCACGTCTTCTTTTGTCTGCTTCGGTGCACGTGCTAAAGCCCTATCCACCCTCCAGGTGCCCTTGTTCTGGCCCACTCGCTCCGCGATGCCGGCACGTCCAAGAAGCTGGCCGTCCTGGCCACCCTCGACACCGTGTCCGCCGAGGTCATTACCCAGCTCAAAGTGCGCTCCCAGCCTCGTCCTTGTACCTCTTCCCACTCCTCGGCTGTGCTTTCTTGGCAACTGACACGCGCAGAATGTGTACGACTACGTAATATCCGTGCCGCGTATAAAAAACGAGGCCTCAGCCGGCAAACTTCACCTCATGAACCGCCCCGATCTCCACTCCGCGTTCACCAAGATCAACCTCTGGAAACAGGCCCAGTTCCGCAAGATCGTCTACATCGACGCCGATGTTGTCGCGTACCGGGCCCCCGATGAGCTCTTTGACCTCCCCCACGCCTTTGCCGCAGCACCAGACATCGGCTGGCCCGATCTGTTCAACACCGGCGTCATGGTCCTCACACCCAATGTCGGCGAGTACTACGCCCTCTCTGCCATGGCCCAGCGCGGCATCTCTTTTGACGGCGCCGACCAGGGCCTCCTGAACATGCATTTTAAGAACTCCTACCACCGCCTGCCATTTACCTACAACGTCACTCCGTCTGCTCACTACCAGTACCTTCCGGCGTACCGCCACTTCCAATCGAATGTCACCATGGTCCACTTCATCGGCTCCGGCAAGCCATGGACCCGGGGCCGCGGTGCTTCTCACGGTAGCGGTGTCTACGACGAGATGATCGGACAGTGGTGGGCTGTTTACGATCGCCATTATCGCCCTGCTGTACGTTGGCTCCTTGTTGGTCTTCTATGGTCTTGGCGCCCGTTCCATATTATATGGCGTACTGACATGATCTTCCCCTGACAGTCCCCTCCTCCGCCGGGGTCCAATCTTCCCGCGAAGAATCCACCCCCAGAGATTGTTCAGTACTTTGTGAAAGGCGAATATCATCCGACCATTACTTACAGACTAACTCCCGGCGAGCCCTCCTTGGATCTCGGGCGCTCGACATACGGTCAGCATTCAGAAACTCTGCCGCCTCCTCCCCCGTCCCAGTCGTTTTATGCGTCCCGCGAGCATCAGCACCTGCAACATTCCCCAGCACCACCACCACCACCACAAAACAATGAACATGACCATGGACCACCTGACCAGCAACCTCATTATCCTCATCAACACCATGAACATCAGCATGACGAATCTCACAGTCATCATGATCAAAACCAGCCCCATGAGCATGATCGCTCTGAACCTGCTCCTCCCCCAGCGTCCTCTCCTTTGTTTCAGCAAGACACCTCGCACCACCCGCCCCATGTTGTCTCTTTTGCGATTTCTGATGGGAACACGCGCACTGAGACTCGAGAAGACCAGGTTCCGGGTCCACAACCGGGAACGTCTCAACCTCCGGCACAAGAGCAAAAGCATGAGCCAGAACGACCCCCAATGGAGCCCAGTTGGGATGCTCAATGGTATGTTGGCCGCTGTACTGAATTATAGAGATCCCAAAATGAGACGTCTTGCTAACATGCTGTCCTTCTCTTTTTTAGGCAGCCACCGCCTACAAATGCTAAACCGGAGGCAATGAACTTCCCGCAGACCCACTACGAAATGTCCCGCGATGCAACGCCGTTCATCCCGCCGCCGCGGTACGCGAGTCCGCCGCGCGACATGTGGTATGAAGTGCCAAAGGCGTCCCCGGCCCCTGCGCACGAGCGGCCGGCAGCCATCTTCCCATGGGAGACGCACCAACCACCAGCGACCCGTGTCTTTGCCGAGCCACCGCCGCCACCAGCCCCCTTATCTGAACCGACCCGAGCCGAAACGCATTCGGGTCAGTCGGGCTACCATCCACACCCTTCCTTCCAGGAGCCAGGAGCTGAGCCATCTATGACCACAGGTTCGCCCTCGATGGATTTGAAGACGGAGCCCACCACACCAACCATGCCATCGACCGCTCGTGATGTGCCGCCCTCTGATCCCTGGGCGTCGTTTACGCGAACCAACGCTTGGGACGGCGTGCCCCAGATCGAGCGGTACGTCGACGCTTTCCAGAAGCAGCACCGCCGAGTGAGGAGCCGTGGCCAAGCGCCCGGTGGCGGTCTGCGATCAGGAACCGGTGTCGGTGACGTGAGCGGTGGCGGTGGCGCTGACGACGCCGCCTCCGTGCCGTGGAGGCGCGGCTCCAAAGTCACAGACTTCCCCAGCGAAGTAGAACGACCCAGTCTACCCGTCACACCAGCACCGATTCGTCGATCCAGTTACTGGGGCAGTGGTGGCCCCAGCTTTGGTGCAGACGATGACGATGCGGAAGGCGGTGATGGCGCGCACCTGTTGCCGGCTGCCGATGGTGTGCCGAAGCAGGCCGACTGGGTATGTGTGCATGGCGTAGTGTGGACGCCGGCAGACTGCCTCTGCGAGCATCTGCGACGCTGTCATATTGCTGGTCTTGGCGATCATAGCGATCTAAAAGACCAAGATCGTAGTGATGACCTGAAACGTACTAACAATCCTGGGAACAACAAGGATCCGGCCACGCAGCTGCAGAAGCTGGCCAAACAGCAGTCCGAACTACTGTTCCAGAAGCTGGGCAACGCCGGCGACGCCGACCGGGGTGAGGCTAGCGATGCACCTCGTACCATCCCGCTGCGGCCGCTTCCTTTTGGATCCGAGAACATCCAGTCCCCAACCTATGTCGCCCAGGCGCCGCCCGTCGTGGTCAGCCCGAAACCGATCAAGCCCGGCGGTCTCGAGACCAGCTCGGTGCGCGGCATTTACGACCAAGGCAGCAGCAGCAGCGGTGCAGCTGGCGCCGGCACGGGCGGCGACGACGTTACCATACCGCCCAGTCTCTCGGACACAAAGATTGCCGAGCCTTCGTATCTCGGCCCCGGCATCGTTTTCGAAAAGGACGAGAGCTACCCCGAGCAGGAGGTGACGGCAGCGCTGCCCTCGGAAGAGGAAATGGATGTACTGGATACATGAGAGGTTTGTTTCCCTTTGTTTTGCTGCTGTATTTCTTTTGTCCTTTTGGCACATTTTGGGAGGAGCGGGGAAGAGACTTTGGAAACATAATTGGATAATGGCATGATAGGAGGACATCAATGGTTTGGGGGACGGTGCGAGGCACCATTGTACTGTACGATGGTAGGACTGTTGCATGTGTTTGGCATATATTTCTTTCTTCCCTCTCTTGTGGCCTCATTTATCGTCGCCCACTTTGTCGGCATTCCGTACGGCAATAATGCATGTATGGAGGGTATATTTCAAAACACTATCCAACGGAAATAAGAACATCCTATTAAGCACACAATCCAGGTGTCCTTCGCATTACAACATACAATCTTACAGCTTTGACTCGGCCGCAGCAGTAGCAGCAGCTGCCTCCGTAGCAGGGGCATCTTGCACAGCAGGAGCGCCGTCGGCATCGGCAGCAGGAGCAGAGACAGGGGCGTCAGCAGCAGCACCAGCCGCGTCTTCCTTGGCACCGCCGGCGCGCTCCAGGATCCAGTCGCCGACCTCGCGGTAAAACAGCTGGCGGTCCGCTAGGGGCTCGCCGTGCAGCTGGTGCACCCACTTCTCGTAGCTGCGGAAGGTCCTGTCCGGGACGGCCGTTGCCGACGTGTCGAACCACTTCTTGCTGGCGACGAAGCTGGTGCACTTGTCGGCGTCGCCGTGGCCCACCCAGATGCTCTTGACGCTGGGGCCCGGCTTCACGCGGCCCTGGGCAATCTCCGTCACGCGGTCCAGCAGGGCCGCCAAGCCCTCGAGAGTGCCCGTGTCGTGGCACAGCGGATCGGCCTCGAGGGCGGCCCGGATGTCCTTGTCGCGGCTGAGGTACGCGACGGGGATCTTGTTCTTGAGCTGGAAGTTGGGCAGCAGGCGGCCCGCGAGGCGGCCCACGGAAATCTTCAGGGCGCTGGGGGCCTCGCCGGCGGGGAACCCGAAAAAGGGCGCCTCGAGCAGCCAGCCGCGGACCTTGGACACGACATCCGTCTCGTGCGGCGAGCCGGCGGGCGCCGCCATGAGCGTGGCGACCTCGTTGCCGCCCATGGAGTGGCCGAGCACAAAGACGGGCGTCTCGTCGCCGAGGTGCGGCTTGACAAAGGCGACAATGTCGGCCAAGACCGTCGCCGTGGGCCCCGAGCGGCCCTTGTCGGCGGGTTTCTGGACGCTGCGGCCCCAGCCGCGCTGGTCGAAGCCGTAGACGGCGATGCCGCGTTCGGCGAGGGTGGGGAAGAATTCGCGGTAGTTGTTGATGTGGTCGCTGAAGCCGTGGATGGCGATGAGCTTGGCACGGACGGGGCCGTCAGGCTGTACGAGAAAGGGGGAGGTCAGCTCAAGTGTCCCGTCCAGAAGCAGACCAAAGGCCGGCGGCGACTTACCAGCCACGTCTTGGTGTACAGCTCCTGGCCGTTCACCGTAAAGGTGCCTTCTGAAATGTTGACCATTGTGGCGATGTGCAAAATTGCAAAATGTAGAAACGGGTGGTTGGAGGAGTCGAAACGCTGTCAAACGAAGGGGGAGAGGGTGCGAGAGGATGTGTGTGCAGGGGCGATGATGGCGTTATATGAGGCGTTTGAATAGGGATGGGCGACGTATTGGACCAAAATGCACGTGAAGGTCAGATTGGCAAACAAGCAACAGCTTTTGGAAGGCACAGCTGTCATGTCTATTGTGGGTCGGTCCAGACAGGGCGGTTGGTGGGGATTTGGGGAGAGCTTGGAGCGGGGAAGGCACTAAAGTGGTCAAAGACGGAAAGAAGGTGAGAAGTGGACAAGGGCGGCAGCGAATGGAAAGTGCATTTCGTACAACACACAAAGCCGTCGCCAGGGGAAGGAGCAACACACAGATTCTCCTGATGGCAGTCGCTGCTGGCGTGGGCAGAGACATGATTACTCAGGCCAAACGCCTCACAGCAGCTACAGCACACCGTGGACGCCACGCCTCCGTAGAGAGCAATGTCGAAAGCAGTACAGAAATCTTGTACTTTGAATGAAGATCCGACGATGCGCCTTATTTACCTGTACGACTCGCTCCGTGCCTGTCGGTGTACCTGCCCGAATAGTGGAGCTTTTTCGGCCTTAGCATCTTGTCTGCAGGGAGAGCAAAAACGATCTACGACGTAGATACTCTAGTACCCCAATGCTACCGTCAACTCGGTAACCTTTTTCGCTTCCCGATGGGCATGCTGTATCGACTGCACAGCTGAGAAGCGGAGAAGCATGAAGCAGCCTCAGGTGCAGCCACAGCCATAGGAGATGAAGCAATCTCAACTTGCCGAGACGTTGACACGGTATTACGAAGAGAGCCTTATGCGTTGAGATGCAACTAGACGTTGGCCAATGCTTGCACGAGGCTTACGCACGGCACCATGAGCACTCGTTCAAAGGACACGATGGACGTTTGAGTGTGGAGTGAAGTTGAAGGTGACGCTCTCCTGGCTGCCGGAATTCTTGATTTTTCCCACTGTGACTCACTAGTGCAGTTCTCCGGACGGGCGCAGTCGTGCCTTCCCTTGAACCCCAACCCAATAGCAGTCACTTGCAAGGCTGGAGCCATCCCATTGCCCCAAACAAACCCCTAAACGTAGATCGCCCGTCCAGTTCGCCTTGTTCTCTTCGACTGAGCCTCAAGTCTCAGTCTCAATCTCTCGGTCACGATCCCGGTGAGCCAGTCTAATCGCTGCCCCCTGTCTGCCTACCGCTTGGCTGGTGCGTTTTGCCTTTTCGTACCATGACTCCGCCTCAATACTTTCGTGTCCGACCCCGTCTGCTGCCATTACACCTTCAAAAATGCTACGACGCAAGATGACTGACAAACAGCACAGAAATCCTCTGTACGGAATCCGTCGTGCACATAACGGAATTCATCCAGCGGTCCCAGCGATGTCACTCGTTGACAGGTAGCTGGGTGCTACGGTGCTCGTCCGCCTGACTCCACTTCCTCGACATCCAGTGGTCTCGAGCCAACCATAATCGTCCGTCCACTAATCGGTGTCAAGGCAGCCTTGCCAAGATCGAAGGACTCATCCGGCTGCATTGCCAGCTGGCACATGCGCTTTGATAAGGAGAGGCATCGGGGAGGCATTAAATATTTGCATCTGTCCTGCTCTCACAAAGTTGAACTCGTCTTTGCCTACTTGACGATTCCCAGGCCATTTTGTTGTCTTTTTATCGTGATTCTCCCACAAAAGGGCATCGACAAATCTACACTCACTGAAACCGGAACCAAGTCAGCTGGATACGGGCTTGCTTTCCTATCATCGCCACTTCACACAATGTCCGCTCCAACACAGCGCCCCAGGCGCTCGTCAGAAGACCTGGCGCTACCTCCGCCATATGAGGCAACTGATTCGGCCAACAACGGTGCAGTCCTCGGCACGCACAGCGAACAAGCACCGGAGACCACCAAGTATCAGGACGAAAAGGCCATTCTCAAACAGCGGGATGCCGAGCAAAATGCATCCTCCCGTGATAACTCCTATTCCAACCCGTACACCAGCCCGATTGTCAACCAGTCCTCTCAGCGGGGCTTTTTCCGCAGCTCCATCAGCAACCTGCGGGAGACCTTTTCAGGGCCCTGGCAGACTTATCCTCGCCCGACAGCCGCCGAGCGAAATGCCAGCCAGATGGAGCAGTTTGCCCGACGCCTCGAAGTGCAGAATCGGATGGGGCCGTCCGCGGCCGAGGCTGAAAAGCGAGTCCTGCAGCTCCAAAGCGACGCCGCGCAGGCTAGTACCCGCGCTGGGCCCCGCGTGTCGACGGGCATCTTCAAGGCCTCGTGCTCGACCGACCTACTGTTTCTCATTGACGCCACAGGCTCCATGATGCCCTACATCGAGGCCGCCAAGGCCCAAGTCAAGGAAATTGTCAACGACATCAACCGGACATTCTTCAATGAAGCCGACGTGCGCGTGGCCGTCGTCGCGTACCGCGACCACGGAGAAAAGCAACACTTTCAGTTTCTGGATTTCACCGCGGACGTCCACAAGGTCTTCAAGTTCCTCGACAAGCTAACGGCCTTTGGTGGCGGCGACACCGCGGAAGACGTTCTGGGTGGCCTCGACCAGGCACTCAGAGCGTCGTGGAAGCACCAGACGCGGTGCATCATGCACATTGCCGACGCGCCCGCCCACGGCTCCAACCTGCACGACATGGGCCGCGAAAAGGACCACTTCCATATGGTCGGCAAGGAGCCGCATGGCCTGCAGTACCAGCTGGTCCTCAAGGAGATGATCAATCGCAAGCTCAACTACGTGTTCTTTCGAATCAAGTTTATCACTGACCGCATGCTCTTTCAGTTCATGATGGTCTACGGCCAACACACGACGGCCTGCAAACTTCATCTCGAGAACAAACATATCCTCGAATCCCGCCGGTGGTTGAAGAGCCAGACGGCCCGCAACCGGGCGCATATGCAGCGGACGTCGTCGGACAAGGAGTATGCGGAGAAGAAGATGCAGGACGAGGGTGGCCTCTACTTTGCAGAGGTGCAGCTCGGCAGCAGGTACAGCTCGCTCCGCCAACTGGTCGTCAATGGCGTCACCGCATCCTCGTCGCGGACGGCCGTGCGTCTGTCATCCAGCCTGTCGGCCAGCGGCAGACGCAATCGGCTGAGCACTACGAATTCCAAGCTGGCACACCAGAAGGCACCGCTCAGCGATCTGACCGAGGAGGATGAGGTGGATGTTTTCGAAGATTGCCACGAGTGGCTGAACGGGCGCGACATTCGTGGGGCCCGAGATGCGGCCGATGCCAGTACGTTGGCCGAGACGATTGTCGAGGTCGACGAAGAGGACGAAAAGGACGAAGAGGGGAAGGACCCGGTCGAGCCAACCAAGCCAAACCCCTTTGAGTTTGACACGAGCGAGCCGCAGTGGAACGTACCGGGTTGGCTGGACCAGACCATGCACGTCAAGGCCTTTTCACCGGATGTGATTGACATTGCGCCACCAACGTCTGCCGCGGCAGGCCAAGCGAGTG